AGCAAAATGTGCTATAGCAGGATGATGTCCCTCCCTCCTGCAAAAGCAAAGTTTTGGCAGTTTAATTAACTTCTTTCCCATGTTTTTTAATGATAGAACCAATAAGGAAATGACATTGAGAACCCAGGAAATGTCATTGATGACCCAAAAATTGTGTTACATTGTGTATTGGTTTGGGGAACAGAGTTTGAATCCCCACCCAGCTATGATAACCCATTGGGTGACCCAGGGCGAGTCACCCTCCTTGTGGTTGCTTTGTCATAATCTTGAAGCCACTTGCAGGCACACAACCACAACTTCAACAAACTCAGAAGTGATGGAGAGAGGCGTTTACCACGGAGACAGCTTATATTGTGTGACAAATAAACGCAGAGGGAAAGGCAACGGAGTCGGACGCCCGGAGCCAAATCCATGGGTGTGTCAAGCGATGACTCGTATTTGCACAGCGGTTTGGAAGTGAAACTGTGGACAATCGCTGCGTGTGTTTCCCCAAAGACGGTGCTATGGCGATCGCTACAGCAAATTAAAATATCCCTTGAAACATTGCAAAAAGGGCTTTGTTGGTTGTTTGCGTCTTAAGCTCCCTGCACAGAGCCTGAGAGCTTCAGCCAAGGCTGGGCCGTGCATCGATCCCTTTGGACAAAACCAGCTCTGTTTGGTGTTGAGAAACCCAAAATAGGCTAGTTGAGTTCGTTCCAAGATGAGTCAATGCCGTGTGTGTACAAAATGCAGAAGGAAATACATGAGATGCGCATAGGGTGTGCTTCCTGCGCATTGCTGATGGAGCGAGGTTGCATTTGTTTAGAATCCTAGAAGAGACCACAAAGGTCATCTAGCCTAACCCTCTGCCATCTTGAGTCCTTATTTGACCCAACCCTGTTATATGCCTGTGAGACGTGGACTGTCTACAGACGTCACATGCAACTCTGGGAACAATTCCATCAGCTCTGCCTCCGAAAAATCCTGCAAATCTCTTGGGAAGACAAGCGGACAAATGTCAGTGTGCTGGAAGAAGCAAAGACCACCAGCATTGAAGCGATGGTCCTCCGCCATCAACTCCATGTTGTCTGGATGCCCGACCACTGTCTCCCAAAGCATTGGGAAGACAAGCGGGCAAATGTCAGCGTACTGGAAGAAGCAAAGACTACCAGCATTGAAGCGATGGTCCTCCGCCATCAACTCCGCTGGACTAGCCATGTTGTCCGGATGCCCGACCACCGTCTCCCAAAGCAGTTGCTCTACTCCGAACTCAAGAACGGAAAACAGAATGTTGGTGGACAGGAAAAGAGATTTAAAGATGGGCTCAAAGCCAAAACTTAAAAACTCTGGCATAGACACTGAGAACTGGGAAGCCCTGGCCCTTGAGCGCTCCAGCTGGAGGTCAGCTGTGACCAGCAGTGCTGCAGAATTTGAAGAGGCACATGAATGGAGGGCAAAAGAGAGAAACATGCCAAGAGAAAGGCGTGTCAAGCCAACCTCGACCGGGACCGCCTTCCACCTGGGACCAATGCCCTCACTGCGGGAGAAGATGCAGGTCAAGAGTAGGGCTCCACAGCCACCTACAGTCCCACTGCCAGGATACCACATTGGAGGACTATCATCCTCGGACTGCGAGGGATCGCCTAAGTAAGCTTGTCTTTCCTCCATCCAACACTTCCCACTTGTGGTGGGCTCACAATTCCAGGTGTTCCTGGAAGACACGGATTTTCTGGATCTGGCACAGTCTGGCTTTAGGCCGGGACATGGAACCGAGACAACCTTGGTCGCCTTAGTGGATGATCTATGCTGGAAGCTAGACAAGGGGGAATGTGTCCCTGTTGGTTCTGCTGGACGCCTTGTGGGAATGGGCCTTGGAGGTACTGTTTTGCAGTGGCTCCGATCCTTCCCAGAGGGCCATTCCCAGAAAGTGTTATTGGGAGACACCTGTTCAATCCCACAACCTTTGTCTTGTGGGGTTCCTCAGGGTTCAATACTGTCTCCCATGTTGTTGAAYATCTACATGAAGCCGCTGGGAGAGATCATCCGGAGTTTTGGGGTGCGGTGTCACCTGTACGCAGATGACGTCCAACTCTGTCACTCCTTCCCACCTTCTACTAAGGAGGCTGTTCAAGWCCCGAACTGGTGCTTGGCTTCTGTAATGGACTGGATGAGAGCRAACATATTGAAACTAAACCCCAGACAAGACAGAGGTCCTCCTGGTCAGTTACAAGGCCGAGTAGRGCATAGGGTTACAGCCTGTGCTGGAYGGGGTCAMACTTCCCCTGAAGGCGCAGATTCTCAGCTTGGAAGTGATCCTGGATTCATCSCTGAGCCTGGAACTCCAGGTCTCAGCAGTGACCAGGGGAGCATGTGCACAGTTAAAACTTGTGCGYCAGTTGCACCCGTACCTTGGGAAATCTGACTTGGCCATGGTAGTCCACGCTCTGGATACATCCCATATGGACTACTGCAACGCACACTACCTGGGTTTGCCTTTGAAGACTGTTCGGAATCTGCAAATGGTCCAACGGTCAGCAGCCAGGTTGCTAACAGGAGCGGTGCTCAGGGAGCACAAAATTCTTCTGTTGCACCAGCTTCACTGGCTGCCAGTTTGCTTCTGGGCAGAATTCAAAGTGCTGACTTTAGCATATAAAGCCCTAAATGGTTCCGGTCTGGCTTACCTATCCTAACATATCTCTCCTTATGAACCATCTAGGACACTAAGATCTTCTGGGGAGGCCCTGCTCTCGGTCCCGCCTTCCTCACAGATGTGTTTGGCAGGGACGAGAGACAGGGCCTTCTCAGTGGTGGCCCCTCGGCTATGGAATGCCCTTCCCAAGGATATAAGAGCAGCCCCTTCCCTCCTGATTTTTTGAAGAAAGGTTAAAACCTGGCTTTTTTTAGCAGACTTTTGCTAATTTTGCAAAATCGTGGAACAAGCTGATGATGCAATTGAATAAAGATTTTAATAAGGAGATGCCCACAATAATGTTTTTATGTATTGTCGAAGGCTTTCGTGACCGGAATCACTGGGTTGTTGTAGGTTTTTTCGGGCTGTATGGCCATGTTCTAGAGGCATTCTCTCCTGACGTTTCGCCTGCATCTATGGCAAACATCCTCAGGATGCTTGCCATAGATGCAGGCGAAACGTCAGGAGAGAATGCCTCTAGAACATGGCCATATAGCATGAAAAAACCTACAACAACTCAATGTTTTTGTGGCTTTGTACGGTTTTTATATTTTTAGGTGAGTTCTGTGTTGAGCACGGAGGCCAAACACATCTGGAGGCCAGATGTTTCCTCTGTTTTGCTCTCAAGCAAACAAGAGGCATCTGGGCTTTCAGCCTCGCCCTCCATTCCTTGCCACCCTCGAAGTAAGATCGGAGAGAAGAAAAGTTAGGGATTTTCCATATAATCGTCGGCGTAAAAGTTCCAGGATTTCTGAGCAAACTGTTTTTGTTGCTTTAACGTTTCCGATCTCAAGATACACCTGAAGACAAGCCAAACATCTGCCAGCATATATGGAAATGGAACGTTTACATATTGTTCTATATGACAGCGTAATAGTCGTAACCTGCAAATTAGTTCAGACTCAGTGTAGGTTTCATATCACGTTCTTCTCACTGCTCAATTCCTAGTAATGTGTTGTTGTAAGGCTTTCCTGGCCGGAATCACTGGGTTAATGTGAGTTTTCCGGGCTGTCTTTTCATCTTCCAGCAGCATTCTCTCCTGATGTTTCGCCCACATCTATGACAGGCATCCTCAGAGGTTGTGAGGTCTGTTGGAAACTAAGCAAGTGAGGTTTATATATCTGTGGAATGATGTCCAGGGTGGGAGAAAGAACTCTTGTCTGTTGGAGGCAGGTGTGAATGTTGCATTGGCCACTTTGATTAGCATTGTATAGCCTTGCAGCTACAGAGTCTGGCTGCTTCCTGAACTTTCCCCTTTATTTCTTCTAAGTAGTAAAGGTAAAGGTTTCCCCTTGACATTATGTTTAATCGTGTCTGACTCTGAAGGGCAGTGCTCATCTCCATTTATAAGCCGAAGAGCCGGCGTTGTCCATGGATACCTCCAAGGTCATGTGACCGACATAACTGCATGGAGCACCATTACCTTCCTGCCGGAGCGGTACCTATTGATCTACTCACATTTGCATATATCTGTGGAATGTCCAGGGTGGGAGAAAGAACTTTTGGCTGTTTGAGACAAGTGTTAATTCCAGACAGGAAACAATCAGGACCAGCTAACACCTCCCAACAAAGGATTCTCCCAGGCAGGAAGCAGCCAGGCTTTGAAGCTGCAAAGCGAATTCCAGACAGGAAATAATGAGGGCCAACTAACACCTCCCAACAAAGGATTCCCCCCCCAGGCAATAAGCAGCCAGGCTTTGAAGCTGCAAGACTATTCAATGCTAATCAAGCTGGCCAATTACAACATCCACACTTGCCTCAAGCATGCAAGAGTTCTTTCTCCCACCAAGGACAGATATATGAACCTCACTTGCCTAGTTTCCAACAGACCTCAGAACCTCTGAGGATGCCTGCCATAGATGTGGGCGAAACGTCAGGAGAGAATGCTTCTGGAACATGGCCAGACAGCCCGGAAAACTCACACCAACTCATAGAATCGTAGAATCCTAGACTTGGAAGAGACCTCGTGGGCCATCCAGTCCAACCCCATTCTGCCAAGAAGCAGGAAAATTGCATCCAAACACCCCCAACAGATGGCGATCCAGCCTCTGCTTAAAAGCCTCCAAAGAAGGAGCCTCCGCCACACTCCGGGGCAGAGAGTTCCACTGCTGAACAGCCTCTCACAGCCTCTCACAGTCTCCAATTCCTAGTATATTCCAATTGATATTTATTATTTGATGTTAATTATTATTGTGCCTTTCTCACAATATAGGGTGGCTTTATGTATTAAATGCCGCACTGACTCTCTTGTTTGCTTTGAGGTGGGGCTGGTGACATTTAAGGATATGTCGTGCTCTATTAATCCCTTCCGTTTTTCCTTTTCTTCCCCCAGGAAACATGTCTGACGGATTTTCGGTAAGTATTTCTTAAGGAGGTATTCTTTTAAGGCATTATTTTGAGATTCTCCTGTTTGGTTTTGTCTCCTGCAGGCAGGTGGAGACTCTTTTTTACTTTGGGTATTGACTACTTTACTGAGAAAATAATCATTAATAAAGTTTTGTATTTATATTCTGCCCTTCTTGCCTCGCAGGGGACTCAGGGCGGATTAATGCACATATACATGGCAAACATTCGATGCCATTAGACATATAACATATATAGACAGACACAGAGGCAGTTTAACATTCCAGCTTTTCCGGCATCATGAGGGTATGCTCGATTTCAGCCACAGGGGGAGCTGCTGCTTCACTGTCCACTTGTGACACCGAGTCCTTGATGGAGTATTTCCTCATTCTTCTGCACGCTGCTAGAAGGTTTTATGGTGTCATAATTAGTTAAATTAGTTAAATTAGCCTCCTCACATATAGCGGTACCTAAATTTCCTACTTGACAGATGCAGCTATCTTTTGGGCTGCATAGGTCAACAGCAAGTTACACTATTAATGGTCGGGAGCTCACTCTGACCCAGGCTTGCTTCAAACTCATGACTTCTTGGTCAGTAGTGATTTAATGCAGCTGGCTACTAACTAGCTGCGCCATAGCCCGGTCCCTACAGTGTGTATAGAATCCTAGAGTTGGAAAAGGCCAAAAAAAGCCATGCAATCCAACCCCTCTGCCTTGCAAATGCTTTTGCTTGCTGGCTGATCCTGTTTTGCTTCTTCCGCAGCTCACTGATGCCCTTTCAGGGTCCAACAACCCCAACCCCAATCCGAATGCGCAGCCTTCTCCTTGGGGAGGTCAGCCAGGAGGATACCCAGGAGGGTATCCAGGAGCACCGGGAGCATACCCAGGAGCACCCGGCGCATACCCAGGAGCACCGGGCGCATACCCAGGAGCACCTGGTGCATACCCAGGAGCACCAGGCGCCTTCCCTGGAGCACCAGGCGCATACCCTGGAGGCCCCTCCGGCCCTGGTGCATACCCCGGTGGTCCCCCTGCTCCAGGTGGATATCCCAGCGCACCAGGAGTTGTCTCACCCGGAGCATCAGGAATGTATCCCTCTCCTGGGCAGCCACCAAGCGGTTCTGGCGCACAGCCGACTGCCCCACAGACTGGACCGGGATATGGGGCTCCTGGAGGCACTTCTGCTCCATTGGTAAGGGATATTTTTGCATGTGTTTGTGATCAAGCAAACGGATGTTTTGGGGAGTTACAAAATCTGGAAAAGCATAATAACCTTGTTAGAAATCATAACCTTTTGGAAAGTTGTGCCATAACCTTTTGGGAAATGGAAATCTCCATAACCTTTTGGGAAATGGAAGTCTCCATAACCTTTTGGGAAATGGAAATCTCCATAACCTTTTGGGAAATGGAAATCTCCATAACCTTTTGGGAAATGGAAATCTCCATAACCTTTTGGAAAATGGCATTCAGCACCATTTTGGGAGAATCAGGAATCTCTCTGAGAAGAGTTAATAATTCGTTTCTCCTAAGTCAGCGTTTCTCAACCTTCCTAATGCTGCGACCCCTTAATACATTTCTTCATGTTGTGGTGACCCCCAACCAGAACATTATTTTCGTTGCTACTTCATAACTGTAATTTTGCTACTGTTATGAATCCTAATGTAAATATCTGATATGCAGGATGTATATTTTCATTCACTGGACAAAATTTGACACAAATACCCCATACGCCCAAATGTGGACACTGTTGGAGTTTGGGGGAAAGAGACCTTGACATTTAGGAGTTGTAGTTGCTGGGATTTATAGTTCGCCTACAATCAAACAGCATTCTGAACCCCACCAACTATAGAATTGGGCCAGACTGAACTCCCATAACCAACATAAAATACTGGAAGGGTTTGGTGGGCATTGAACCTTGAGTTTTGGAGTTGTAGTTCACCTACATCCAGAGAGCACTATGGACTCAAACAATGATGGATCTAGACCAAAATTAGCACGAATACTCAATATGCCCAAATGTGAACACTGGTGGAGTTTGGGGGAAATAGACCATGACATTTGGAGTTCTAGACCTTGACATTTGGGATTTAGAGTTAATCTACAGTCAAAGAGCATTCTGATGGAATTGAACCAAACTTGGCACAAAAAATATAGACACACACATATATAGCAAAGTTTCAGGAGTGTTCTTTCAGTTCAGAACTCTCATGACCCACAGAAAATACTGGGAGGGTTTGGTGGGCATTGACCTTGAGTTTGGGAGTTGTAGTTCACCTACCTTAAGAGAGCACGGTGGACTCAAACAATGATGGATCTAGACCAAACTTGGCATGAACACTCAATATGCCCAAATGTGAACACTGGTGGTGACCCCCAACCATAACATTATTTTTGTTACTACTTCATCACTGTCATTTTGCTGCTGTTATGAATCCTAATGTAAATATCTGATATGCAGGATGTATTTTAATTCACTTGACCCAATTTGGCACAAATACCTGTATGTCCAAATTAAAATACTGGTGGGGACACTTCCAAGTGTCTAGGACTGTGTGATGTATTGGCGAATAATGCGTGCAGATCCCAGTAAGGTGGCCTTTTAAAGTTGACAGATCGTAATCTTGTCAGCGCCGATTTTGTTTAAGTGCAGGCCAAGGTCTTTGTCACTGCACCCAGTGTGCCAATCACCACTGGGACCATCTTTACTGACTTGTGCCAGAGTCTTTGCAGTTCGATCTTTAAATCCTCATATCGTGTCAGCTTTTCCAGTTGTTTCTCTTCAATCCTGCTGTCACCTGAGATTGCAACATCAACAATCCACACTTTGTTTTTTAACACGGTCATGAGGTCAGGAGTATTGTTCTCCAAAACTCTGTCTGAATCCGGAAGTCCCAGAGTAGTTCGACCTGTTCATTTTCTGTAACTTTTTCCGGCTTGTGATCCCACCAGTTCTTTGTCGCAGGCAGATGGTATTTGTGGCACAAGTTCCAATGAATCATCTGAGCAGCGGTGTTGTGCCTCTGCTTGTAGTCTGTCTGCGCAATCTTCTTGCAGCAGCTCAGGATGTGATCTATTGTTTCATCTGCTTCCTTCCTTTATTTATTTGTGGCACAAATTCCAATGAATCATCTGAGCAACGGTGTTGTGCCTCTGCTTGTAGTCTGTCTGCATGATCTTCTTCCAGCAGCTGAGGATGTGATCTATTGTTTCATCTGCTTCCTTGCAGAGTCTACACTTGGGATCTGTCGTCGCCTTTTCAATTCTTGCTTTGATGGCATTTGTTGTTGTTGTTGTTGTTGTTATGTTTACTTAAACCCTGCTTTTTGTGCTCTTTTTCAGAAAGTTCCTTGCGACATCCCTCTTCAGTCTGGGCTCATGCCTCGCTTGTTAATCACCATCGTTGGAACAGTGAATCAGAGACCAAACAAGTAAAGGATGGAAGAAGAGATTGTGGGGAAGGGGCCGGGGGGGGGGGGGGCTACGACTCAATCTGAAGATTTCTTATTTCATCTATATGTTTATTTATTTATTCATGCATTCATTTAGCAAATGGATAAATAGGTCCCTCTTCTTTGTCCCTATTCAGGGTGGTTAACCATCTCACAAACGTGGGAAAGAGGATGGAGTTGAATCAAAACTTATTTCCAGTTGGATTTTGGTGTAGACTCTAGTTTTTGGAGGGAGCCCCCAGTGGCACAGCGGGTTAAACCGCTGAACTGATGAACTTGCTGACTGAAAGGTCTCAGGTTCAAATCCAGGGAGTGGGGTGAGCTTCTACAGTTAGCCCCAGCTTCTGCCAACCTAGCAGTTCAAAAACATGCAAATGTGAGTAGATCAGTAGGTATCACTCTGGTGGGAAGGTAATGGCGCTTCATGCAGTCATGCTGGCTACATGACCTTGGAGGTGTCTACGGGCCCCAGCTTCTGCCAACCTAGCAGTTCAAAAACATGCAAATGTGAATAGATCAGTAGGTATCACTCCGGCGGGAAGGTAACGGCGCTCCATGCAGTCATGCTGGCTACATGACCTTGGAGGTGTCTACGGACAACGCTGGCTCCCAGCTTCTGCCAACCTAGCAGTTCAAAAACATGCAAATGTGAGTAGATCAGTAGGTATCACTCTGGGGAAGGTAATGGCGCTCCATGCAGTCATGCTGGCTACATGACCTTGGAGGTGTCTACGGACAACGCCGGCTCCCAGCTTCTGCCAACCTAGCAGTTCAAAAACATGCAAATGTGAGTAGATCAGTAGGTATCACTCTGGCAGGAAGGTAATGGCACTCCATGCAGTCATGCTGGCTACATGACCTTGGAGGTGTCTACGGACAACGCCGGCTCCCAGCTTCTGCCAACCTAGCAGTTCAAAAACATGCAAATGTGAGTAGATCAGTAGGTATCACTCTGGTGGGAAGGTAATAGCGCTCCATGCAGTCATGCTGGCTACATGACCTTGGAGGTGTCTACAGACAATGCCGGCTCTTTGGTTTAAAAATGGAGAGGAGCACCAACCCCCAGAGTTGGACATGATTGGACATAATCTCAGGGGAAAACTCTTTATCTTTACCAGATTTCTTGCTGAACTTGGTCACTACAGTCTGGGATTGAAAGTGAACAATAAAATATAAAGTTATTGCAATTTTTTTAAATCTGGAAGAATATCTTTATTAGATGTATTGTCGAAGGCTTTCATTGAATTTTTGCTACTGTAAACCTCTTTGAGTCGCCCAAGGGCTGAGAAAAGTGGTATATAAATGGAGATAATAATAATAATAATAATAATAATAATAATAATAATAATAATGGCTTTAATTGAATTTTTGCTACTGTAAACCTCTTTGAGTCACCCAAGGGCTGAGAAAAGCGGTATATAAATGGAGATAATAATAATAATAATAATAATAATAATAATAATAATAATAATGGCCAGAATCACTGGGTTGTTGTGAGTTTTCCAGGATGTATGGCCATGTTCCAGAAGCATTCTCTCCTGACGTTTCGCCTGCAACTGTGGCAGGCATCCTCAGAGGTTGTGAAGTCTGTTGGAAACTAGGAAAATGGGTTTATATATCAGGGTCTTTATTAAAATGTCTATGTCTCCCAGCATGCCTTTATAATTAACTTCTGCTGGAAGTTGCATTGGAGGATCTAGATATTACTGAAGACCGTACAAAACTGCAACTCCGATAATTCCATAGCATTGAGCTGTTGCAGTTGAAGTGGTGTCAAATTGCATTAATTCTACATTGGAGATGTGCCCCAAGTCTGGAAGAATTAAAACGCAATTGTCCAGAAATAATAATAAATGTCTTCATATGCTTTTGTAAAACCTCCCTCATGAGTTTTCGTTCTGCCAATGATGGTGACATCACAATTTGCCAGGTTTTAGCACAGCTGGTAAATCACAAGCAATGATAAGATCTACCAACCAAAAGGTTACCAGTTTGAAACCCCAGATCAGTATGAGCTCCCGACTGTCAGCCCAGCTTACTGTTTACCTAAGCCAGTGGTTCTCAACCTGTGAGTCCCCAGGTGTTTTGAACTGCAACTCTTAGGAATACCAGCCAGTTTACCAGCTGTTAGGATTGCTGGGAGTTGAAGGCCAAAACATCTGGGGACCCACAGGTTGCGAACCACTGACCTAAGCTGTTTGAAAACAGCTTGAAGAAAAAGATCAGAAAATGCCTGGCAACCCAAAGGAAGGAGGAAGTCTGATGGCTCTTCATCATAGAGGATGGAGCGACAGCACTCCCCTGTGGCTGGATTTGAGCACAACCTCCAAGATGCCAAAAAGCATCATTTATTTATTTTTATTTCGGGTATTTTTACCCCGCCCTTCTCAACCTCCTAGGGGGACACAGGGCGGCTTCCAGCCGGCACATATTAGATGCCTACAATTAAACACAATAAAATACACAACAAAACAGTAATTATAAATCATTAAAACATTGAGTTAATACAATAAAATCTACTAGAAAAAATCCAGCCTAGTGGCCGTCGTCTCGCCGAGTTCTGTAATTAATGATTCCATTCAGCTTATCATAATCCGTTTCCATAGCATCTTGTCGTCATTGTCCTTGTCAGTCTGCTAGATTACCCAAAGGCCTGGTCCCATATCCATGTTTTTAATTTCCTTCTGAAAGAGAGGAGGGATGACGATGATCTAATTTCCCCGGGGAGTGAATTCCACAGGTGGGGGGCCACCACCGAGAAGGCCCTGTCCCTCGTCCCCGCCAGTCTCGTTTGTGACAAGGGCGAGACCAGGAGCAGGGCCTCTCCAGAAGATCTTAAATTCCAAGGGAGGACGTAGAAGGAGATACGTTTGGACAAGTACGCTAGGCCGGACCCGTATACATCCTTTTTGTTCTGTCTGTGTACTGTCTATCCAAAACGGCATTGAATGTTTGCCGTGTATGTGTACTGTGATCCGCTCTGAGTCCTACTGGGAAGATATGGCAGAATATAAATAAGGTGCTGTTGTTATTATTATTATTATTATTATTATTAAAATAATCTTAAACTCAATAATAATAATAATAATAATCCCAATATGTAAAATAATCTTCTTAAAGCTAAACATTCCTTGGAAACATCCAAATGGTTACAGGTTGTGTCTTCTTGCTTCTTGCAGGATTCAGGTGGACTTGAAGAAAGGGAACGACATCGCTTTACATTTCAATCCCCGGTTCAATGAGAACAACCGGAAAGTGATTGTCTGCAACACCATGATGAACAACAGTTGGGGAAAGGAAGACCGGACAGCTCCAAGGTTCCCTTTTGAAGCCGGCAAGCCATTCAAGGTAAGGTGGGAGCTCTTTCCCTTTTAGGTCCCTGTGGCTTTGTTTCCTTTGTATTCTGCTTTTCTCCCAGTCCAAAGTCCTTGTGGATGACAAGTTAAACCTGAGCCAGCAATGTGATGTGGCGGCAAAAAAATCCAATTGGATTTTGGCCTGCATCAATAGGAGTCTAGTGTCTAGATCAGTGTTTCTCAACCTGGGGGTCGGGACCCCTGTGGGGGTCGTGAGGGGGTGTCAGAGGGGTCGCCAAAGCCCATCAGGAAACACAGTACTTTCTGTGGTCATAAGGGTTCTGTGTGGGAATTTTGGTCCAATTCTATCGTTGGTGGGGTTCAGAATGTTATTCCATTGTAGGTGAACTATAAATCCCAGCAACTACAACTCCCAAATGTCAAGGTCTATTTCCCCCAAACCCCATCTGTGTTCATATTTGGGCATATGGAATATTCATGCCAAATTTTGTCCAGATCCATCATTGTTTGAGTCCACAGTGGTCTCTGGATGGAGGTGAACTACAACTCCAAAAATTCAAGATCAGTGTCCACCAGATCCTCCCACTATTTTCTCTTGGTCATGGGAGTTCTGTGTGCCAAGTTTGGTTCAGTTTCATCATTGGTGGTGTTCAGAATGCTCTTTGATTATAGGTGAACTATAAATCCCAGCCACTACAGCTCCTAAATGACAAGATCAATCCCCTCCCAACCCCACCAGTATTCAAATTTGGGCATACTGGGTAATTAGGATTTGAAAATACATCCTGCATATCAGATATTTACATTACGATTCATAACAGTAGCAAAATGACAGTTATGAAGTAGCAATGAAAATAATGTTATGGTTGGGGGGCACCACAACATGAGGAACTGTACTAAGGGGTCGCGGCATTAGAAAGGTTGAGAAACACTGGTCTAGATCCAGGGAAGTCATGCTACCCATGCTACCCAAGTACTGAACAAGATAGGTTCTGTAGTTTTGTTCTTAAGTTGAATTTGTTTGTAAGTTGGAACAGGTATATTTTAAGGTGTAGCTCCATCCAAATGTATATATGTTTATATTGCACTGTGTGTTTACTTTGGGTTTTTTTGGTATTATTATTTTCATTATATTTTATTGCTGCGTTTTTTATTTTGTATATTTGCTTTGTTGTAATTGTTGGGCTTGGCCTCATGTAAGCTGCCCCAAGTCCCCTTGGGAGATTGTTGTGAGATATAAATAATAWTAATAATAATAATAATAATAATAATAATWATWATWATWATWATWATTATTATTATTATTATTATTCCGCCTTGGTCAAGCCACACCTGGAATCACACTGTGTCCAATTCTGGGCACTGCAATTGAAGGGAGATGTTGACAAGCTGGAATGTGTCCAGAGGAGGGCAACTAAAATGATTAAGGGTCTGGAGAGCAAAACCTATGAGGAGCGGCTTAAAGAGCTGGGCATGTTTAGCTGCAGAAGAGAAGGCTGAGAGGAGAAATGATGAGGGCCATGGATAAATATGTGAGGGGAAGTCATAGGAAGGAGAGAGCAAGCTTTTTTTCTGCTGTCCTGGAGACTAGGATGCAATGGAACAATGTATTGTCGAAGGCTTTCATGGCCGGAATCACTGGGTTGTTCTAGGTTTTTTCGGGCTGTATGGCCATGGTCTAGAGGCATTCTCTCCTGACGTTTCGCCTGCATCTATGGCCTGCRTCTATGGCAAGCATCCTCAGAGGTAGTGAGGTAGTGAATGGAACAATGGCTTCAAACTACAGGAAAGGAGATTCCACCTGAACATGAGGAAGAACTTCCTAACTGTGAGAGCTGTTCAACAGTGGAACTCTCTGCCCCGGAGTGTGGTGGAGCCTCCTTCTTTGGAGGCTTTGAAACAGAGGCTGGATGGCCACCTGTCAGGGGTTCTTTGAATGTGATTTTACTGCTTCTTGGCAGAATGGGGATGGACTGGATGGCCCATGAGGTCTCTTCCAATTTTAGGATTCTATGATTCTATGACAGACGCAAGTGTCTTTCGGGCTGCAAAGGTCGACAACAAACTACACAATTTTGGTTGGGAGCTCACTCCGACACGGGTCCATGAGGTCTCTTCCAATTCTATGATTCTAGGATCGAGGAACAATCAGTTGAAATAATTTTATGATAAAATTTCAAAACAATTGCAATCATAGAATGATAAAGTGGTTTTGTGGATTTTTCAGGCTATATGGCCATGTTCTAGAAGCATTCTCTCCTGACGTTTTGCCTGCATCTATGGCAAGCATCCTTTGACAATACATAGAATGACAAAGTTGGAAGACACCACAAGGTCCATTCCACCCATACGGAAAGACGCAATCTAAACCTTTTCACTCTTTTTGCAGCTCCAGATCTTGTGCGAAGCGGATAATTTGAAGATCGCCGTCAACGATGCACACTTGCTGCAGTACAACCACCGTATCAAAGAGCTGAACCAGATCACCAAGCTGTGCATCGGTGGAGACGTGACCCTCACCAGCGTCACCCCAGCCATGATCTAACCCAACCTTGGAGTCGCAGAAGCCGAGCGCTCCGGGATTCGAATCCTGTTGGTGACTCCCAACTTGAGGAGACGCATTGAATCCAGTTTTTTGATGCAGATCAACACATAGCCACATCCAATTGGGTCCATGCCTTTACTCTGGTTAGGAGCAACCAACAGCATTTTTGTCCTGAGTGTGAACAGCTGCTTTTTAATAAAAATATATATGAAAAATATTTGGAGTTAACTTTGTAAGGCAAATTAAAAATAAACTGTAGGACCTGCTTAACAAAAGCTGGATGTCATTTTTTATATTATAATAATACATTACAATGTACATATACATGGCAAACATTTAATGCCATAGACACACAACATATATAGACAGACACGCAGAGACTATTTCACATTCCAGCTTCTGGCCACTAGGGGAGCTGTCGCTTCCTCATTCTTTGCGTACTTCCTGGAGATTTTTATGGCGTCGTAAATCAGTCAAATTAGCCTCCACACAAAGTGGTACCTAATTTTCCTACTTGACAGATGCAACTGTCTTTCGGGCTGCAAAGGTCGACAACAAACTACACAATTTTGGTCAGGAGCTCACTCCAATCTGGGCTGGCTTCGAACTCATGACCTTTTGGTCAGTAGTGATCTTAATGCAGCTGACTCCCAGCCAGCTGCGCCACATAATCCTGTATTGGATTATGGTGAATTTGAATGCAGCAAGGAGACTCGAGAATGGCCGTTTCTGGACAATCATTTCTCCTTTGGGTTGCTGTGAGTTTTCCGGGCTGTATGAACATGTTCCAAACGTTTTGCTCACATCTATGGCAGGCACCCCCAGAGGTTGTGGGGTCTGTTGGAAACTAGGCAAGTGAGGTTTATATACTTGTGGAAGAATTCTTGTCTGCTTGAGTCATGCATGGATGTTGCAACTGGCCACCTTGATTAGCATGGAATAGCCTTGCAGCTTCAAAGTCTGGCTGCTTCCTCCATTTCTCCTTATTTCTTCAAATTAGTAAAGATAAAGGTTTCCCCTGACATTAGTCATGTCTGACTCTGGGGGGGTAATGCTCACCTCAATTTCTAAGCTGGAGCCAGCATTGTCCGTAGCCGGCATGACTTCTCGCGGAGTGGTACCTATTGATCTACTCCCTATGAGGAGTGGCTTAAGGAGCTGGGCATGTTTAGCCTGAAGAAGAGAAGGCTGAGAGGAGATATGATAGCCATGTATAAATATGTGAGAGGAAGCCACAGGGAGAGGGAGCAAGCTTGTTTTCTGCTTCCCTGGAGACTAGGACGCGGAACAATGGCTTCAAACTACAAGAGAGGAGATTCCATCTGAACATGAGGAAGAACTTCCTGACTGTGAGAGCCGTTCAGCAGTGGAACTCTCTGCCCCGCAGTGTGGTGGAGGCTCCTTCTTTGGAAGCTTTTAAACAGAGGCTGGATGGCCATCTGTCAGGGGTGATTTGAATGCAATATTCCTGCTTCTTGGCAGGGGGTTGGACTGGATGGCCCATGAGGTCTCTTCCAACTCTTTGATTCTATGATTCTACTCACATTTGCATGTTTTTGAACTGCTAAGTTGGTGGAAGCTGGGCCTAACAGTGGGAGCTCACCCCGCTTCCTGGATTCAAATTGCCAATTTCTTCAAAATCATACAATATTCAAGAGGGGAAGCACCATACACACACTCTCACCATGGAGTGCCATAGGTGCACCAGCACTACGCTAACCCAATGTGACTTGATCACGTCCAAAAGGGCAGTCAGATGGACAGGAGTGATCTGTAGTTTCAGTCCTGCCATAAAGGTTAATTTGGAAAGACCTTCACTTAGGATTGGGCACTTGTTTACAGCACTCCCTTGTTTTTATACATTGCTGTCCTATCTCGCTTCACCTTTGTCCAACATTCCATGTTTATGCCAAAAGAAGAAACGGCAGAGGCGCAGACCACAGGCAGAGCATTTTTCGTAAATAGAACTTTATTATTTCCACTGAATACTGAAGTGTAACTATCTATTAACATCAATGGTATCTTTAAAACCTCGAAGAAAAATTCTCTTTAGCCACCTTAACAAAGACAAGTTAGGATCCTTTATTTGCAGATTTTGGATTTCAAAAATGAAACAGGTCAACTAAGATGCTCACATCCATATTCTTTGTCACATGCCATTGGTCCAAGACCTCTATGAGACAATAATTTTAAAATCCAAACCTTCGAAGTCGAAGTTATATAATAAAAACAGAGAAAAACACAAAATATGAAGTCAGTGCCCAGGTGCAGTTATTCTCAAGTTCTAGTGACTAGTCCATCTCTAGCAAACTCCTCATTGTCCCTCTTCTGGGACTGTTAGGGGAGAGAATGACATCAGGTCATTGCACGCAGCGACTGCCATTGATTGCTCTGTTTTGTTCCTGAGAGGAGTGAAGAAAAGGCTGTCCTCCAATCCCGGCTGTAAGAAAAAAAAAAGGGACAAGTGTAAGAGTTGGGACGAAAGGACCACAATTCAGTCTAGGTAAAGGTAAAGGTAGTTCCCTGACATTAAGTCCAGTCATGTCTGACTCTGGGATGTGGTGCTCATCTCCATTTCTAAGCCGAAGAGCCAGCGTTGTCCGTAGACACCTCCAAGGTCATGTGGCCGGCATGACTGCCACAATTGGCACAATTCAGTCTACTGAACATTAAAAGTCTATGGCTCCTAATGGGCCTAGTGGCCACAAAAATCCAAAGCAAAATGTCCAGATCTCCTGAGAGCAGGGCTTTGGAACAGGGCTGGAGTCAGCCCCCCACATTCACTGGGGATGGGGATATAGGACCCACACAAAAGTGCAAAAAAGTACAAAAGCACAATTTTAAAACGGTGAAACAAACAAAAACAATCCAGTTCCAACCCGCTACAGCAGTGGTTCCCAACCTGGGGGTCGGGACCCCTGGGGGGGTTACAAGGGCGTGTCAGAAGGGTCGCCAAAGACCATCAGAAAACATACTATTTTCTGTTGATCATGGGGTTCTGTGTGGGAAGTGTGGCCCAATGCTATCATTGGAATGCTCTTTGATCGTAGGTGAACTATAAATCCCAGCAACTACAACTCCCAAATGTCAAGGTCTATTTTCCCCAAACTTCACCAGTGTTCACATTTGGGCATATTGAGTATTCGTGCCAAGTTTGGTCCAAATCATCATTGTTTGAGTCCACAGTGCTCTCTGGATGTAGGTGAACTACAACTCCAAATCTCAAGGTCAATGCCCACCAAACCCTTCCAGTATTTTCTGTTGGTCATGGGAGTTATGTGTGCCAAGTTTGGTTCAATTCCATTGTTGGTGGAGTTCAGAATGCTCTTTGATTGTAGGTGAACTATAAATCCCAGCAACTACAACTCCCAGATGACAAAATCAATCCCCCTCCCAACCCCACCAGAATTCCAGTTTGGGCGTATGGGGTATTTGTGCCAAATATTCTACTTTCTTGAGACAGTACTATTTATTTATCATGTCATCAGCAACCATACCATTTTGTTACAATTCTAACAGAACAAAACAAACACACAGATTAAAAAAAAACAAAGAAAAAAAAAACACAGATTTTGCAAACTTGGTAGTTGGTTAAATGTCCTTTGACCAGTATCTGGCCACTTAGAGTGCTTCTGGTGTTGCTGCAAGAAGGTCCTCCATTGTGCATGTGGCAGGGCTCAGGTTGCATTGCAGCAGGTGGTCAAGGTTTGTTCTTCTCCACACTCGCATGCCGAGGATTCCACCCTGTAGCCCCATTTCTTAAGATTGGCTCTGCATCTCGTGGTGCCAGAGCGCAGTCTGTTCAGCGCCTTCCAAGTCGCCCAGTCTTCTGAGTGCCCAGGGGGGAGTCTCTCATCTGGTATCAGCCATGAATTGAGGTGCTGGGTTTGGGCCTGCCACTTTTGGACTCTCGCTTGCTGGGGTGTTCCAGCGAGTGTCTCTGTAGATCTAAGAAAACTATGTCTTGATTTAAGTCGTTGACGTGCTGGCTGATACCCAAACAGGGGTTGAGCTGGAGGTGTCTCTGCCTTGGTCCTTTCACTATTGGCTGCTACTTCCCGGCGGATTTCAGGTGGTGCAATACCGGCTAAGCAGTGTAATTTCTCCAGTGGTGTGGGGCGCAGACACTCTGTGATAATGCGGCATGTCTCATTAAGAGCCACATCTACTGTTTTAGTGTGGTGAGATGTGTTCCACACTGGGCATGCATACTCAGCAGCAGAGTAGCATAGCGCAAGGGCAGATGTCTTCACTGTGTCTGGTTGTGATCCCCAGGTTGTGCCAGTCAGCTTTCGTATGATATTGTTTCTAGCGCCCACTTTTTGCTTGATGTTCAGGCAGTGCTTCTTATAGGTCAGAGCACGGTCCAGAGTGACTCCCAGGTATTTGGGTGCGCTGCAATGCTCCAGTGGGATTCCTTCCCAGGTAATCCTCAGAGCTCGGGATGCTTGTCTGTTCTTAAGGTGAAAGGCGCATGTCTGTGTTTTAGATGGATTAGGGATCAGTTGGTTTTCCCTGTTGTAGGCAGTAAGAGCACCTAGAGCTTCAGAGAGCTTCTTTTCAACCATCTCAAAGCTACTATATAACCACATTATAATCAAGGATATCATTTTGTATTGTCAAAGGCTTTCATGGCCGGAATCACTAGGTTGTTGTAGGTTTTTCGGGCAGTTTGGCCATGTTGTAGAAGTGTTCTCTCCTGGCGTTTGCCTGCATTTATGGCAGGCATCCTCAGAGGTTGTGAGGTCTGATCTCACAACCTCTGAGAATGCTTCATAGAGAATGCTTCTAGAACATGGCCATACATTTTACAGGCAGGCTACGATCTGCATGCACACACATAAAAATGCAGACAAAATTCCACCAGAATCCATCTCCTCCAGTTGCTTTAGTTATTTTGGCTCACAATACAGAAACACACCTCATGGCAGTGAAAGCTGTTGCAATTTGAATTAAGGCAGGCCCTTAAAAAAAACATGCCTTCTTCCCCTGGGTGTCTGTGCATCTGCATGTGGAATTGCACGCCTGAAAGGGTTTCTTGACGGGGAGCCACTCCTGAGAAGCCTTCTTCTTGCTTAAGAACCTTGCCTTGGGGAGGACCAGCCGAACCAAACCTACCAAACCGGTTGTGAAATTAGGTGCCTCTTCGTGGAGACCCAAAGGACTTCCCAAGCTTGCCCAAAACTTAAGCAACGCTTGAGTTACCATATTCTCTGGGAGGAGTATTACAACATCAATTCTTGTATACACTGATCTGAATTAAGAGTACACTTTTCCCTGTCTTGCTTCAACACATTCTCAAAGTTGTCCCCCTCCTTTCCATATTAACCTCAGTCTTTTGGCAACAACAACAACAGGACTTCCCAATTCAGACAGAGTTTTGGAGCACAATACTCCTGACCTCATGACTGTGTTAAAAAACAAGGTATGGATCATTGATGTTGCTCCCATTTGCATGTTTTCGAACAGCTAGGTTGGCAGAAGCTGGGGCTAACAGCAGGGGCTCATGCTGCTCTCCGAATTCGAACCTGCGATCACAAGTTCAGCAGCTCAGCGGTTTAACCCACTGCACCACTGTGGGGTCCACAATTATTGCTTTAGTCAGAACTCACGATTCGAGTGGGCCTTTGATGATGGATTCCAGGTGCCAAGTGTGGAAGAAATTCTTTTTTAGAGACGCCAAATCCATAATGGCCCAGACAGCATGGCCACATTTTAGGCTAGCCATCATGACTAACAGCAAGTGTTTTGTTTTGGGAGCAGAGGGTGGGGTGTTAAAATAGCCGGGAACAAAACTTGTTCCCTCTGTTGAAATTCTTCCTTTTAAATACTTCCATGCAATCCGCTTCTGCTGTGTTGACTTAAGGTTTGTTTCACTGCAGATGACATGTTCTGGCACATCCTACGTTGCTGCTATTTATTGCTTTGTTCCTATCATTTTTATTGCAGAACTTTGAAAGCAAGCTTGGATGGGTCACGAGGCCAACCTGGGCTTTGAAATTCTCCTGCACTTGGAAAAAATGCCTTTTGGGGTCCATCATTTCCAGAATCCCCCAACCAGTGGCCATGACGATTGTGAGACTAAGTGTTGCAGCTCAAAAAACGTATCCTTCCCAAGCTGTCCTGACAGTGCGGTATCATTTGCATTATGTGGATCCTGGGATTGATGACACCTTGCCCTGCATTTTAGGCAGGTGGGAGGGAACTGTCATTCTGATTCTTCTCCAATCCCATTTTTAATCCATACAAGTAACATGAGAAATACTAGAACAATGCAGCTATACAACTGAAATTAAGGAAAATCCCACCCAGCTGACTCCATTCCAAGCAAACGTACCTGCCAATCAGGCATTCCATTGCCGCAGGGTATTTCACAGGATAAATCATCAAGAAGGAGGGCTGGAAAATTAAGACATGTTTTCAGTGAGAGACTTTTTGTAATTTAAGACTGGTTGAACTTCCAATGCAGGCGGCTTGTAGAAGATTGAGTTGTTATTGGGCTGTGCACAATGTGATTTAGAGTAATTTATCTCATTATCAGAACGACATAGCGGTTTGAGCATCAGACTACAATTCTGGAGACCTGGGTTCGAATCCCTGCTTAGCCAATGATCCCACTGGATGACTTTGGGTGAGCCACATACTCTCAGCCCCAGAATAAGGTTGCCTTAGGACAGGGGTCCTCAAACTAAGGCCTGAGGGCCAGATACGGCCCTCCAAAGTCATTTACCCAGCCCTCGCTCAGGGTCAACCTAAGTCTGAAACGATTTGAAAGCACGCAACAACAATCCTATCTTATTAGCCAAAAGAGGCACACACTTCCCATTGAAATATGAATAAGTTTATATTTATTAAAATTGTTCTTCCTTTTAATTATTGTATTGTTTTTAAGTGGTTTTTTGCACTACAAACAAGGTATGTGCAGTTTGCATAGGAATTCATTCATTTTTCCCCCCGAATTATAATCCGGCCCTCCAACAGTTTGAGGGACTGTGATCTGGCCCTCTGTTTAAAAAGTTTAAGGACCCCTGCCTTAGGATCAGCATAAATCAGAAATTACTTGAAGGCACACAACATCAGCAAACTCATTGAGGGTACCAAAGATGTATGAAAAACAGGAAAAACAGGAATTAGCTGGAGATAGCTGGTCTCTGAGAGGTCCCCTCTCTCTTGTGGGGTTCCTCAGGGGGCCATTCTCTCCCCTCTGTTGTTTAACATCTATATATGACCACTTGCTCAGCTGGTTCGAGGTTTTGGGCTGGAGTGTTATCAGTACGCTGATGACACTCAGCTGGTGCTGAAGATGGAAGGCCGACCGGACTCTGTACCCGATTATTTCCATCAGTGCCTTGAGGCCATGACTGGATGGCTGCATGCCAGCAGGTTGAGGGTGAATCCAGCAAAGACGGAGATCCTATGGCTGGGTCGACCGGGCAGTGGGGATATCCAGCTGCCTACCCTGGATGGCGAGGCGCTACGCCCGTCATCATTGGTAAAGAGTCTGGGAGTCCTTTTGGACCCTCTGCTGACAATGGAGGCCCAGGTCTCCGCCGTGAGCAGAACCGCCTTCTTTCACCTGCGGCAGGCTGGCCCCCTCCCTGTCCAGGGACGACCTAGCTACGGTGATCCAGGCTATGATCATCTCAAGAGTGGACTACTGTAACGCCCTCTACATTGGCCTTCCTCTGTCGGTGATCCGGAAGCTCAAGCTGGTACAAAATGCAGCTGCTCGGTTTCTTGCGGGAATTCCGATGAGATGAGAGGGGGGGAGGTGTTCCACTAGCCGTGGGGCCCCCATAGAGGTCGTGGTGGGAAGGAGGAGATGCGGGAGACGGAGACCTCGAATTCGGCTTAATTCGGACCGCTTATCCAAATTAACCATTCCCAATCGGTCTCCGAAGGTAAATTGGTGTAACCAGGTGAGCGGGCCCTCTGGCTTGAAGGTGGTGTTGTTGAACGCCAGGTCTGTCAACGGAAAGACATCTTGGATCCAGGATCTAATCCTGGAGGAGCGGGCAGATCTGGCGTGCATCACGGAGACCTGGTTGGATGAAGCGGGGGGCGTAAACCTCTCCCAGCTTTGTCCGCCAGGTTTCTCCGTGCAACACCAACCAAGAGCCGGAGGACGGGGAGGCGGTGTCGCAGTGGTCTATAGAGATTCCATCCATCTAACCAGGAGCCCCATCCCGCAGACCACAAATTTTGAATGCGTCCACCTGAGGGTGGGTGACCGGGACAGAATAGGGATTCTTTTAGTGTACCGTCCACCTCGCTGCACTACAGTCTCCCTACCTGAGCTAGCGGGGGTAGTCTCGAGCCTGGCGTTGGAGTCTCAACGGCTTTTGGTGCTGGGGGACTTCAATATCCATGCCGAGGCGACCCTCACAGGAGCGGCTCAGGACTTCATGTCTGCCATGGCAACCATGGGGCTGTCCCAACAAATAACTGGCCCCACCCACTGTGCTGGACACACATTGGCCTTGGTTTTCTGGTCAGGGATGGGAGCAAGGTGGCGGTGTGGAGGAGTTGTCTAGCTCTCCGTTGCCATGGTCCGACCACTTCCTGATTAGATTTAGACTCACTGCGCCCCCTAACCTCCGCAAGGGTGGAGGACCCATTAAGATGGTCCGCCCCAGGAGGCTAATGGATCCGAGTGGATTCCTGACGGCTCTTGGGGAGTTTCCCGCCGCCGCGGTAGGTGATCATGTCGAGGCCTTGGTCGCTCTCTGGAATGGGGAGATGACCAGGGCTATTGACAGGATCGCTCCGGAACGTCCCCTCTCGAGTAACCGAGCTAAACCAGCCCCTTGGTTCACTGAGGAGCTGGCAGCGATGAAGCGAAAGAAGAGGGTTCTAGAGAGCGTGTGGCGCTCAGACCCAAGCGAGTCAAACCGAACACGGTTTGTGTCCTTTTTAAGGGCATATGCCGCGGCAATAAAAGCCGCAAAGAAAACTTTCTTTGCGGCCACTATTGCGTCTGCAAAAAACCGTCCGGCGGAGTTGTTTCGGGTTGTCAGAGGTCTTTTAACTCCCCCAACTTCAGGTGGGAGCCCTGACAACTCGGCAGCACGCTGTGAAGCATTTGCTCGGTTCTTTGCAGACAAAGTCGCTTTGATCCGCGCTGGGCTGGACGCCGCATTAGATGCAGTCTCTGTGAATGTGACACAAGCACCTGCTTGTCCGATTTTGTTGGATTCCTTTCAGTTTGTGAAACCCGAGGATGTGGACAAGATACTTGGAGGAATGAGACCCACCACGTCCATCCTAGACCCCTGCCCATCCTGGCTTCTGAAGGAGGCCAGAGGGGGATTGGCCGAGTGGGTAACGGTGGTGGTTAATGCCTCCCTTCGGGAAGGCAAGATTCCAGCGAGCCTAAAACAGGCTGTTGTAAAGCCGCTGTTGAAGAAACCATCACTCGACCCCACTAAATTGGACAACTTTCGGCCTGTTTCCAATCTTCCCTTCTTGGGCAAAGTCATGGAAAGCGTGGTGGCCTCACAACTCCAGGTATTCTTGAGAGACACGGATATTCTGGATCCGGCACAGTCTGGTTTCAGACCGGGACATGGTACCGAGACGGTCTTGGTCGCCTTAGTGGATGATCTGCGCCGGGAGCTAGACAGGGGGAGTGTGTCCCTGTTGGTGCTCCTGGACCTCTCAGCGGCCTTCGATACCGTCGACCACGGTATCCTTCTGGGGCGCCTTGCAGAGATGGGTCTTGGGGGCACTGCTCTGCAGTGGCTCCGGTCATTTCTGGAGGGTCGTACTCAGAAGGTGTTATTGGGGGACTCCTGTTCAACGCCACAGCCGTTGACCTGTGGCGTTCCTCAGGGTTCCATCTTGTCCCCCTTGCTGTTTAACATCTACATGAAGCCGCTGGGTGAGATCATCCGGAGTTTCGGGGTGCGGTGTCACCTGTACGCAGATGATGTCCAACTCTGTCACTCCTTTCCACCTGCTACTAAGGAGGCCGTCGAAGTCCTGAACCGGTGCCTGGCCGCTGTAATGGTCTGGATGAGGGCGAACAAACTGAAATTAAATCCAGACAAGACAGAGGTACTCCTGGTCAGTCGCAAGGCCGAACAGGGTATAGGGTTACAGCCTGTGCTGGACGGGGTCGCACTCCCCTTGAAGGCGCAGGTTCGCAGCTTGGGTGTGACCCTGGATTCATCGCTGAGCCTGGAGCCTCAGGTTTCAGCGGTGACCAGGGGAGCATTTGCACAGCTTAGGCTTGTGCGCCAGCTGCGCCCGTATCTTGGGAAGTCTGACTTGGCCACGGTGGTACACGCTTTGGTCACATCCCGCCTCGACTACTGCAACGCTCTCTACGTGGGGCTGCCCTTGAAGACGGCCCGGAAGCTACAGCTAGTCCAACGCGCGGCAGCCATGGTGTTAACGGGAGCAGGACGCAGAGAGCACACAACGCCCCTGCTGTCCCAGCTCCACTGGCTGCCGATTCGCTACCGGGCCCAATTTAAGGTGCTGGTGTTATCCTACAAAGCCCTAAACGGTTCCGGCCCAAAATACCTCTCAGACCGCATCTCGGCCTACGAGCCCACGAGGACCTTGAGATCATCTGGGGAGGCCCTTCTCTCGGTCCCGCCTGCCTCACAGGCACGTCTGGCGGGGACGAGAGAGCGGGCCTTCTCGGTGGTGGCCCCCCGGCTGTGGAACACCCTCCCTGCTGAAGTTAGACAGGCGCCCTCCTTGTTGGCCTTTCGGAGAGGCCTGAAAACATGGCTCTTCGAGCAGGCCTTCAACTGAGAGTACGTGGAACGACACTGGAATGGACTAGGATTATGAAATTGGCTATGACCCCAGGACTTGAGGACTTGACGAAGCGGATTTTAGTATAAGTATATGTTATGTTGTATTGTCTGGTTTGTATTGTCTAGTTTTATTGTACACTGTTCTTTCTGTTGTTGTTCACCGCCCCGAGTCGCCTTCGGGCTGAGAGGGGCGGTCAATAAATGCAAATAATAAATAAATAAATAAATAAATAAAATGCCACATAACACCAATCTTACTGCAGCTGAACTGGTTACCAATTGAGCACCGGATCACTTTCAAAGTGATGGTACTCACCTTGAAGGCCTTGCATGGTCTGGGGCCGATGTACCTGAGGGACCGCCTCACCCCCTACCAACCACAGAGATCCCTCCGTTCTAAGGACCAAGATCTACTGGAAATTCTCAGTGTCAAGACCTTGTGTCTAACAGCAACCAGACGCAGAGCCTTTACAGCAGTGGCACCATCACTCTGGAATACTCTGCCACCTGAAGTCCGTGCCTTGCGGGACTTATCAGCTTTCCGCAGGGCATGTAAGACATACCTGTTTCGACAGGCCTTTGATTTTTGATATTGCTGTTTTTAAATTGTTTTAAATTGTTTTTAAATTGTGTTGGATTTTAGCCATTCTTGTAAGCTGCTCTGAGCCCCAGGGGAGTGGCAGCATAGAAGTTCAAATAAATAAATAAATAAATAAATAAATAAATAACTAGTAGCGGTGGGCCAAATGCAATGAAAATAATTCCTCAAGTGTCCAGAGTCAAACTTAAACTAGAGCAGTGGTTCTCAACCTGAGGGTCCCCTGATGTTTTGGCCTACAACTCCCAGAAATCTCAGCCAGTTTACCAGCTGTTAGGATTTCTGGGAATTGGAGGCCAAAACATCTGAGGACCCACAGGTTGAGAACCACTGAACTAGAGGAAGAATCAGCCAAGCACATCAGTGAACATGCTTTCAAAACATCTTGAGTTATAAACCTGGCACATTAGAAAATGGAAGAGCTTATTCTACTTACAATCTGAATCCTGCAGTTTTGCCTCCTGAAGGGGTTGGCTTTCAGTCTGGGAATCTCTCTTGGAGTTGCAGAAAATGTCTTGCTTGCTCATAGATTCATCACTTTGTTCCATCTCTTCTGTAGCTTCTGAAACTTCCTTTTGAACACTGGGCTCTTCCACGGTTTCATCTAAGCTGACTGGAACCAAGACATCATTCTGATCTCCTGAGGATTCCTTATCGCATATGGCTAACTGCGTGTTCTAAAGATTCAAAAAGAGAAAAGACATAGATTTCAAATACCACAAAGAGCAGAAATGAGCCTGTTCTTGGTTGTTTACTGAAAAGATGTCAACCAGATCTACGAATCCACCTAAGACAACCACACTGTGCAGTTATAGTGCTATGAGCCCACTTTAACAGTCAATAGAATCCTGGGATTGGCATTTTAAAAAGTATTGTGAATTCTAAGCCAGGGAGCACTTGTGCCTCAGCAAACTACAAATCCCAGGATGCCACAGAATGCAGCGTTGGGACTCAACCACATCCTCCACAAGTTTATAGTCCTCAACAATGAAACAGATAGGCATCTAAGTTAGATGGCAGGGAGAGCCCCTCCTCCATTGCCCTCTTTCACCTGTCTCTCTTTTAATCTGGTACATGAAACCATCACTATATAATTTCAAAGCCTCTAGTAACGCAGCCCTCTATTGATACTATTTATTATTTATTTACTATATTTATATCTCGCTCTTCTCAACCCCGAAGGTGACTCAGAGGCCCCTTACAATTGGCAGCAATTCAATGCCGTCAATAGATAATAGACATGTACATTAAAACAAAATTAAAAACTGGGTTGTGTTAAGTTTTTTGAGTTGTCTGGCCGTGTTCCAGAAGGGTTCTCTCCTGACATTTCGCCTGCATCTATGGTAGGCATCCTCAGAGGTTGTGAGATCTCTGTTATAGATGCAGGCGAAACATCAGGAGAGAATGCTTCTGGAACACAGCCATACAGTACAGAAAAACTTACAACAACCCAGTGATTCTAGCCATGAAAGCCTTAGACAATAAAATTAAAAACAATTGATACTAAAAATCCATTTTTAAAGGAATTTGTAAAATTTCTTCACCTTTTTACAGCATTTGTAGCCCGCCTTTCTCAGCCTTATGGTTTACAGAAATTGGCAGAATTTGATGCCATACATTCATAAAGTACAGTTAAAAATATACAACTTAATGTTATAAAAACCATATAAACCATTAAAACCATATCATCACCAGTATCGTCCTGTAAAAATCACTGTCCAACAGCAATGTCTAGTCATTGCTGTTCCTTTTTCCCTGTTTCATAGTTATTTATTCCGCTGCATTTCCAAATGCTAGTTTTTACTCTCTTTCTGAAGGTCAAGAGGGAGGGCGTCAATCTAATATCCCTAGAGAGGGAGTTCCACAGTCGAGAGGCCACCACTGAGAAAGCCCTGTCTCTCGTCCCCAGTCAAAAAAGCTTGTGCTGTCAGGAACTTCCTGCTCATGCTTTTGTTCAAATCCTTCTTTCCTGGCATTTGAATGCATGGTTTTAGGCATCACTACCCTTTTCGGGAACAGCATGCTAGCATTAATGGTTCAAGAATACGCCAGTATTGGAAGGCAAAGATATACAGCAAGACTGGACTTACGGTAGCTTCTTCTTCTAATACATTTTCTGTTGTAACACATAGCTTCTCTGTATCTTGAATGTCACTGGGGAGGAAGAAAAAGAGCCTTAGAGCAACACTCCCAAGACCAAATTGTTCAGCATGAATTAGCACATAGTGGATTTGACTATTTGTTTTGAATAGTTTCAATGTCTACTCCTATTTTAATGTTTTTTAGATTTGAAATGATATATTGTGTTGTTTTTAGTGTTAGCCTGAAAAGCTCCTTTCAGAGAGATAAAGTGGGATAGGAATAATAATATTAATATCTTAATATATTCTGTTAAATATTTATTTTAAATTTTGGAACCATGAAACACATTCCACAGTGTTGGAAATGACAACCTTCTTCAAGCCGCCTCTAGCAATGTTTTATCTATGATCCTGTTGCTTACTGTTTCCTGTGTGTAAGTTCTGGTATGCAGCTTCCTTTACTCTATGGTTCCTGAGAAGTTGCAGAAGAAACTGCAGACCACATGCTCTCTCTCTCTCTGTTGTTGAAGTTTTTCATGGCCGGAATCACTGGGTTGTTGTCTGTTTTATTGTTTTAATGATTGTTTTATTGCTTATGGATGTATTGTTTTAATTTGATTTATGTTTAATTGTAGTGTATAATTGTAATTGTTTGTACAGGCATTGAATTTTTGCCATTACTTGTGTGTTAACCGTTTTGATTCCCCCTCGGGGTGAGAAAAGCGGTATACAAATACTGTAAATAAATAATTTTTTTGGGTGCCTGCCACAGATGCAGGCAAAACGTCAGGAGATAATGCTTCTAGAACATGGCCATACAGCCCAAAAAACCAACAACAACCCTGCTCTCTCTCTTTTTGACTATGTGACTTGCGGATAGCTGTTTTGTTATAAGAGATGCTGTGGCCAGATGGCACAGAGAATTATCTCAAACATAGCTGAAACTGGACTGATAAGTTTTGTACCTGTGTATGCTGAACACATGAAGGTTGTGAGCAAACCAAATAAGTTATTTTTTTATCAAAGTGTACTTCACTTTTGTCTCTTGAGTGAATTATATAAAACAAGTTATTTTATGGAGAGTATATATTTTTGGGCACTGAAAAACTCTTCTAAAGCTCTGCTGTTTTTACGGACTGGCAAAAATCTCTGTTTTCCTAACAGATAAGAGACAACAGGTTATTCAGTCTAACAACTGAAACCTTTGTCTTCCATAATTATATCTGGTTGTATACCATGAGAGAATATTCTACTCTAAAGGGGTTTTGACTCTTCTCTGAAAGGTCATGCTTTTCTAAATAGTTATGATCTCCAAAAGATTATAAATACCATTTTCCAAAATACAGTTTCATCTACTCGCACCTGTGGAAAATGCTCTCTTTAGGAATCTGCCAGATTTTCCAGGCCATTCTATGGTTATCACAGACCTCTAGATAGAAAGAATACCTCTCTAGATCCCTCCAATGTTATGATGGGACTGGAAATTGGATAACTTCATGGCATTGAGTCCTAATTGTGGTTTCAGGTAGCTACGGTATGGCTGGGAACACCTTCCCCACAAAGATAAGTATCTTGCTATTGATCACAATTTCTGCCAGGTAAACAAGACATCTGCAACATGTATAGCTTCATCTTTCCTATAGCTGGGCCAAAACACCATGCAACACTTGGAGAGACAGAAGTGATGCTATGCATGCCTGTACTTGTGAAGAACGAATATAGTCAAATGTTATGGCTGGAAGGGGCTGCGATAGGGGAGGATTTATATGAAAGAAGTAATTCTCTTAAGGCATGGTTGAAATAACTACTGGTATATCTGTATAGCAGCTTTTGATGACAGAATAACCGAAATCAAGTTTTAGCAAGTGTTTTGTGACACAGGATGAAAAAATAAAGAAGCATCAACCATTGCTATGCATCACAGCTAAATAACACATTACAAATGACATTGCTATCCATAACACAGTATTTTTTTGAGATAATAAACCTATAGTCATCTCCTCCCTCCCCATATTTTAAATTCAACTTATTAAAATTTCAAGTATATCAAGCAACAGTTTGTTGTTACTCCTAAAATACTACATTGAGGTCACTTTACAGCAGACATGGGCCAACTTCAGCCTCCAATGTCAGGTGTTTTGGACATCAACTCCCATAATTCCTAAGAACTGGCTGCTAGGAATTGTGGGAGTTAAAGTCTTAAACATCTGGAGGGCTGTAGTTGGCCCATGCCTGCTTTACAGGAATGCTGAGCCATTAAGACTCATGTCCAAAAGTAATTCATTACACAATCCATTGTTGTTGTTCAGCCGTTTCCAACTCTTCGTGACCTCATGGACCAGCCCACGCCAGAGCTCCCTGTCGGCTGTCACCTCCCCCAGCTCCCTCAGAGTCAAGTCAAGCCAGTCACTTCAAGTATGCCATCCTTGTATAATCCATTGCACATAATGGTTTAATACTGACAGTATTGAGAGCCAATGTGGTGTAATGGTTATAGGGTAGTGGACTAGGGGTAGCATCTACACTGCAGAATTAACACAGTGGGATACTACTTGAACTGCTCAATGATATGGAATCATAGGAGTTGTAATTTTGCAAGGTTTTTGGCCTTTTCCTCTGCCAAGAGTGCTGGTGCCTCACCAAACTACAACTCCCAGGATTCCACAGCACTGAGCCATTGTAGTTAAAGTAGTGTCAAACTGCATTTTTTACAGTTTAGATGCAACCCAGGACTTTGGAAAGAAAGATTCAGATTCCACTCAGTCAAGGAAACTCACTGGCTGACCTAGGGCAAGATTCAGAGACATCTCTCCAACAATGGCTTTCCTTTTAGAATTAGCACAATGGTTCGGTTTTCGCCTGACTGCATACCTTTGTTCAGAAATGGACCCAAGGAGGCTGGCTCCACAAGGCCCCACACATGCATCCAGATCTGGCAGAGGAGTAATGGCTTTGGTTGTTGTCGGGGTGCCATGGCTGAGAACACAAGTTTCTGCGCAATTCTGGAGAACGCCCTTCATGGCGGACCTTGGAGTCGTTCGCCTCGTTGGTCGGGGAGTCCGGCCAGCAGATTTGGGAGTCCAGCCTATGGAGAAGTGGGATGGTGGAGAGTAAGCTATCAAATACTGTCAATTCCAATGTTATTCCACGGCAAAAGGCAAACCAAGTTCTCAAGAACTGCACTGTGTCCTAGTCCAGGAATTTTTATGTGACTCCTGGCTATATAAGTATAAAAATCACACATTTACAGATAGCAAACCAGCATTTGCAAGGCTTGCTAAACACACTGACTTTCCTTTTGAACAAAGCACAGCTGAAGAATCTTCTGCAGAGTCTGTGGTAAAAAGTACACAGCAAATTCATGCAAATGACTAAAACAGGCACTAGGTGGCATTCACATGGTTGCCATTTTTTTTTTCAGGGGGGCCCATTTGAGGTTGGGACCTATGGTTTAACAAGCAGTGCCCTAGAACACCTGGAAATTGCTTTTGCCTATCTGGAAACCAGAACACAGGGAAGATGTTCTTTGCATAATGCAAATTTCAGATGAACTGAATTCTGTACTGAACCGCTATAGATGGCAAGGGAGGTGGCCACTGGACGAACTTGAAGATGACATATTTCCAAAAACATGGACGCAAAAGGAAAAAGTATAAGAGAAAACTGTAATAGGCCACTTCCCCATGAAGTTTTCTACTGCTATAAAATTGATGTCTCTACAAAGAAATGAGTATGATACATAAACGATAAGACAATCAGTCACTACTACAGTTGGCCCTATACATTTGTCGAATTAACTTTTGTAGATCTGATTTACTACGTAAAAAAAAAATGAAAAAAATATTTTCCTGGTTTGAAAGTGTTATTTCCTGTTTAATTGTGTGGTACTTACTTTGAAAAGAGTTGCTATACTCCAGAAACTTCGTTTTTGTGACTGCCACAAACTACATTAAGTTGAATCGATTGAGATTCAATGAGATATTCATTGAAAAATTATAGCAAAATGTGCTGCAGCTTAATAAACTTTTTCCAACAAATGCTCCATTCAGCAAAGGACAAGAGGAATCCTCTCACCTCCACAAGAGTCTAATATATACAATGCAGCTGTGGACAAGTCTCCATAGGGACCATCAAATGCAGTACCATTGCCCAAACATTAATCAAGGAACATGAAAGGCACTGCAGACTCATTTAACAGAGAAGTCAGCCATAGCATAGCCCCCGATGAACCAACCTGGACACAGCATATTATTGGAGAACACAGAAATGCTGGACCACTTTCACAACCAGCATGCCAGACTATACGAAGAAGCCAATGAAATCTACAAGCATGTGGACAATTTCATCAGAAAGGAGGAAATCATAAAAATGAACAAAATCTGGCTACTAGTATTAAAAACTCTTAAATTAAAACAGCAAAACAGCAGAGGGAAAGCAATCAGGGACATCTAATCACCTCTCAACAAAAGATTGCTCCAGGCACTTCCAGGTTATCAAATGCTAATCAAGGCGGTCAGTTGAAACATTCACACCTAGCTCCAGCAGACAAGAGTCCTCTGTCCCACCCTGGTCTTTCCAGATATATAAACCCATTTTCCTAGTTCCAACCCTCTAAAATCACAACACCCTAAAAAACAGGATAATTCCAGACATGAAACAATCAGGGTCAACTAACACCTCCCAACAAAGGACCCCCCAGGCAGCAATCAGCCAGGCCTTGAAGCTGCAATTTATTTATTTACAACATTTATATGCCGCCCTTTATATATTTATATGCAAGGCCATTAAATGCAATTACAACATTCACATTTGCCTCCAACAGACAGTTCTTTCTCCCACGCTGGACCTTCCACAGATATATAAACCTCCCTTGGCTAGTTTCCAATATGCCTCACAACCTAAGGGCAAAACATCAGGAGAAAATGCTTCTGGAACATGGCTATACAGCCCAGAAAATTCACAGTAACCCAACTTTTCCCATGTTTTTATGATAGGAAGTGACATTGATAATCCAGGAACAAAAATTGTGTTACATAGTGTTTGATGATTTAATCCCTTTAGCTTCTCCAGAACTGAAATCTTTGGGTGAACTTCCAGCCATAGAGATCTCCAGAGGAGTGTTGTCTCAGGTTTTAAAAAAAATGTTTCTATATTCAGAAATAATTTGGTTGACAATGCAGAAGGAAGCCCCAGATTCCTCTTTGTCCAATCCCAGGAAAGTAGCTATTCTAGTGTTATACTAACAGGGTTACACGAACACAAGTTATCAAAAAGATTTGGGCCCAAAATATCAGAAGCGGTATAGTACATGTACAGAGAAGAGGGAGTTCAATGCAACACCTGACCAAGAATGCACAATGGAAACCCTTGATCAAAAGAGTTTTGAAATTAGCCTACTGGCACTTTCTTTCCCATTGAGAAGTCCTCACCACCTGGTTCCCAGAGAACAGCAAAGTTTTGGTTTTGAACTACAAATTTCAGAACCAGCATAGCCATCACTGATAGTTAAGGGATTCTAGAACCTATAATCCACCTAAAAGGAATATTTTGGAATTCTATCTGTTTCCAATTACCTCAGGGCAAATTTGTATTTATATCCCATGTATTGTCGAAGGCTTTCATGGTCCGGAATCACTGGGTTGTTGTAGGTTTTTTCGGGCTATATGGCCATGTTCTAGAGGCATTTCTCCTGACGTTTCGCCTGCATCTATGGCAATCATCCTCAGAGGTAGTGAGGTCTGTTGGAAATAGGACAATGGTCATTCCACAGATATATAAACCCTTTTTCCTAGTTCCAACAGACCTCACAACCTCTGGGGATGCTTGCCATAGATGCAGGCGAAACGTCAGGAGAGAATGCCTCTAGAACATGGCCATATAGCCCGAAAAAACCTACAACAACCCAATTTCTTGGCTTGTTTCTACATCCATTTATATACTGCCTTTCTCACCCCATAGGGGGACGCAAGGCGGTTTACAACATACTAATGACAAAAATGCAATGCCAACATACATGTAAAAAGAAAAAAAATCATAGTAACTAAACACTAAGATATAACCATTAATTAAAATAATTAAAACCATAAAACAAAGCATAAACAACATTTAAACATTAAAACAAAGCATTAAAAACATCCTAGTGTAAATATTAAAATCACATGATCCAGTTCAGGTTGAGTATTCCTTATCTGAAATGCTTTGGACCAGAAGTGTTGCATATTTTGGATCTTTCTTTATTTTGGAATATTTGCATATATGTAATAAGATATCTTGGTAACGGGATCCAGATCTAAACAGGAATTCATTATACACATTATACATGTAAGGTCAATTATTACTTTAATAATTTTGTGTACAAAAGTTTGGTTACACTGAACCCTCAGAAAACAAAGGGGTCACGATCTCAGCTGCCCATGTGGACAATCCTGGATTCCAAAGTATTTTAGATCTTTTGGGAAGGGATGCAGAACCTGTACTTCATAGGAATCAGATATGCCAACAGAGGATATCCAAGATTTGATACCTTCGAAAGGAGCACAACCCTCTCTTTGAGAGAACTGGACTTACCTGAGAGCACTTTGGCAGGAGATTCAACTTGGAAAAACCCTCCATCAAAGACCACTTTCTCTCCTTCCGCAGGTGCCTCTTGGCTCACGGGCGCGTCCTCCTGCTTCATCTTGCTCTTCATGAGAGCCTTGATGGTAGCCAGGCGTTTCCGGGCTGCTTCTCTTTCCTTGGCCCCATCGCCTGCTTTGGTTGCCCTCTGAGGACCAGCCTTCTTCTGGAAATGAAGAAGTTTGGCCAATGTTATTTTCCCCCCATCACCTGTTGAAGAGCTCAATTCTACAAGTGTCATGTGCTTTGGTGGGGAGAGACTATATAAACCAGGCATGGGCAAATTTCTGCCCTCCAGATGTTTTGGACTTTAACTTCCAAAATTCCTAACAGCCTAACATCTAGTCCTATTTGATTCTGTCACAAAGGAAGACACAAATCTCTTTGATCATCCGGGGAGGCCCTGCTCTCAATCCCACCAGCATCGCAGGAGCGATTGGTGGGGACGAGAGAGAGGGCCTTTTCGGTGGTGGCCCCTCGACTCTGGAACTCACTCCCTAAAGACATCAGACAGGCTCCAACTTTGGCAGTCTTCAGGAGGAACTTGAAGACGTGGCTGTTCCAGTGTGCCTTCCCGGAATAATGATCCCATAGCACTTTGTCCTCCAAAGCACTTTACATTTTCTAAGTCTGCTCGTATGCCCTTTCACAAACACCAGTATCACCTTCCGTTCATGTCCCAGCATATTTCCAATTTTAACTTTACATTTGGCCTCCCCTTGTTTTTAATTGTGTGTTATTTTATTGACAATGTTGTTTATCTTATTGTCTATGTTTTTTAATTGCTTGTATTGTTGTTAGTAAAGAGTAGAGACATCAGACTGGCAACAAAGATCCATTGCCTAGTCAAAGCCATGGTATTCCCTGTAGTAACCTACGGATGTGAGAGCTGGACCTTAGGGAAGGCTGAGCGAAGGAAGAGAGATGCTTTTGAACTGTGGTGCTGGAGGAAAGTTCTGAGAGTGCCTTGGACTGCGAGAAGATCCAACCAGTCCATCCTCCAGGAAATAAAGCCCGACTGCTCATTGGAGGGAAGGATACTAGAGACAAAGTTGAAGTACTTTGGCCACATCAGGAGGAGACAGCAAAGCCTAGAGAAGACAATTATGCTGGGGAAAGTGGAAGGCAAAAGGAAGAGGGGCCGACCAAGGGCAAGATGGATGGATGGCATCCTTGAAGTGACTGGACTGACCTTGAAGGAGCTGGGGGTGGTGATGGCCGACAGGGAGCTCTGGCGTGGGCTGGTCCATGAGGTCACGAAGAGTCGGAGACGACTGAACAAATGAACAACAATTGTTGTTTTATTGCTTGTACTGTTGTTGTTTGGGCTCGGCCTCATGTAAGCCACACCGAATCCCTTGAGGAGATGGTAGTGGGGTACAAAATAAAGTTAATAAATAAAATAAATAATAAACACTCCTGACAGATATTCCGAATCCATGTCCTGGTCTCTGTAGCTGCAGAAGATAAGTTTGCTCCTCAATATATTGTTACCTAGTTTACACCTTTGACTCAAAACTTCTTTAAGAGGCGAGGATGGGAACAATTTGAATATATTTATTGGATTTGCCAAGATTAGGTGAAGTGCTTTTAAGTCATCTCTCCCAAGTGAGCAGATGTCAATGCTCAGGGTTTTTTGGTCAATGCTTCCAAACACCAAATGGGTTAAATTTTGGATGGGAAATTTTAGCAGGAAAATCCCAGGAAGTATACTCAGAAGTCTTAACTACTCAGATCAGTATTCCTATTTGTATACCACTTTGAGTCCCCCTCGGGGTGAGAGAAGTGGTATACAAATACTGTAAATAATAATAATAATAATAATAATAATAATAATAATAATAATATATCTGATGGGGGTAGCAGAGCAAAAAAACACTTTTCCATTTTCCAAATTAGGAAAACTATACAATTGGCCCTTAAACTGCAGTTTGGTTCCAGACTCCCCCCGTGGATGCTGTGTTTTGCGTACTGGACAAGGACTCTGGAAGACCAGGATTCGAGTCACTACTCAGCCATGAAAACGCCCTGGGTGATTTTGGAGCAGTGATGCTCTCCCAGTCCCAAGAAGGCGGCAAGGCCAACCCCTGCACTGAATAATTCTGGCAACCCTACAATAACTTCCCTTTAGGGTTGCTGTAAGTCCAAAATAACATATAGTAACAGCAAAAATGAAATACAGGAAGCAGCGCCTTCTAGTGGCCAACTGCAGGATGGATGTACACATTCATAGATGTCAAGTGACAGATTGATGACTCTTGAACACAGTGCTTTGCCAGTACAAACAACAGATCCATGGACTTTCTTATGGGGACATTAGAATCCTCCCTCTCTTGGTTTTGCACCAAAAGGGAGCAGTCAAGGTAGGAACTGTGGTTTGTGCAAGCTCTGTGTGTGTTTAAATAATTCTTGGCCATTAAAAGTGGTAGGTTTAAAAATAGGTGTTCTTCTTCTTCACTAGATTCTTCAATCAAAGCTAAAATTTGCTAGTTCCATGATTAAACTCCCAGGCTCTGGAACTTGCTGGCCAAAGAGCTTCCTCTAGCATCTTTCATTCCTATCTTTTCTCACCAAAGCGACACACTTTTTAGTCCGGCAGGATTTTGAGAATTGGTTTTTATGATAAAATAGGCTAGGGTTAATGTGCTGGATTTCTTTAATGTTTTAATTATTTGTTTTAATTTTTTGAATAGTTTAATTACTTTTTAGTTGGGAATTCTAAAAATATTCAAAATAAATAAACGGGCAGAGGGCCTGTTTTGAGCTAAATCTGCTGCGGCTGATGGTAGCTGCCTTCAAGAACAAAGCCATACCTTGCAGGGCTTCTTGGCTTGGACATCCTCCACCATTTGCCATCCATTCCCCTGAAGCCTCCTCAGGTTCTCAAATTTTTTATTTACATCTTCTACCTATGGAAAGGAAAAGAGAAATATGCCAGAACAGGCTCAGAAAACTTCATGGGGCCACATTCCAATTGGTTGGAAACCCATTCCAACCCGGGCTGGCTTCGAGCTCATGACCTTTTGGTCAGAGTGATCTTAATGCAGCTGACACTCAGCCAGCTGCACCACAATCCCGGTGACCTAGAATTCTTACCTGGAAGTTCACCATATCCCAAAATCCATCCAGATCTGTACAGGTCGTCTCCTTTTCTCCACGCTGGAACTCACAGTTATCCACCAGCCCTTCAAACTGCTTGAATCTTTCTGTGATGAGCAGTCTGGTTTGTCCGATGGTTGTGCGGACGAGATCTTTTGCTGCAGAAACACGTGTGCAAAAACATTATATATGTCAAGTACAGGCTATATTAATTCGTAAATGGTGTTTATTACATAAATTGCATTTTATTTCATTTTTTAAAGGAAAAATTCAAGCAAAATTACAGGCTGAGTTTCTTTTATATGAAATGATTTTGGACCAGAAGTGTTTTGGATTTGGCTTTTTCCACCTGGTTTTTGGAATGCCTCCCTTTGCATATATGCACAAAATGGGAAATTTTGGAATAGTGGACTCAAGTCTAAACACAAAGTTCGTTGGTGTTTCGTATAAAAGTTATCACCTTATCCAGATTGTCTAAAGGTAATTTTATACACAAGGAGAGGCCGGAGAGGCCCTGCTCTCGATCCCACCAGCATCGCAGGTGCGATTGGTGGGGACGAGAGAGAGGGCCTTTTCGGTGGTGGCCCCTCGACTCTGGAACGCACTCCCTAAAGACATCAGACAGGCTCCAACTCTGGCAGTCTTCAGGAGGAGCTTGAAGACGTGGCTGTTCCAGTGTGCCTTCCCGGAATAATGATCCCATAACACTGTGTCCTCCAAAGCACTTTACATTTCTTTAGGTCTGTTCGTATGCCCTTCCGCAAACACCACTATCTTTTCGCCTATGTCCCATCATTATTTCCAATTTTAATTGTACATTTGGCCTTCCCACTGTTTTTAATTGTGTGTTGTCTTATTGATAATGTTGTATATTTGTATTGCCTATGTTTTTTTATTTTTAATTGCTTGTACTGTTGTTTATTGTCTGTATTGTTGTATTGTGGGCTCGGCCTCATGTAAGCCGCACCGAGTCCCTTGGGGAGATGGTAGCGGGGTACAAATAAAGTGTTATTATTATTATTAAGGAGAGGTATATAAATACTTAATAATAATAATAATAATAATTTTGTGCATGAAATAAAGTTTTTGTTCAACAGGCCTTTAGAAAGCTCTACCCAGTATATATCCATTATCTACAATAATACCATTTTAGTTGGGGTATTAAGCCATGTGTTTGCACATCCCTCCTTCACCATCCTACAAATGCCAATGCTAATTACAACACCACCACCACCAACAACAACAACATCCAGCTCAACACTGGACAGGACAGAAAACGGAAGGGACTGGGAGAGTATTAAAACTGTAAAAGCAACTTCTTTGTCAGAGGCTTGTTAACGGAGGTATACATTTACAAGTGTTTTATATATCACAATCCACATAGTGATGAAAATGGGTCAAGTTATTATCTTCCATGGCCTAAGTGTGCTGGTACAGCTGTACCAGGAGCTCTAATTCTGTTTGCTTTGCATTAAATGTTTGTTTACAATCCCAGGCTTGGGATTTTGCAGCAGGGTAGCTTCCTGTTATAGTTTGCAATCATAGGGCAAGCCACCTGTCAATTATATTTAGGTTTCCTGGTCCTGCCCCTTTTTGGGTTTTTGGAGGGAATAGGAGCCTTTTTGAGTTCAGTTCTCACAGAAAAGCCTTTCGCACAGGACATAAAACGAAGAGCTCCTGTAGAAAGCTTCATCTTCTACGGCTTGGCCGGGGAGATATACAGCCCACAGCTTGACCGAGGATCATACAGTCTTACAGCTCCTTTGCTGAGGGACTTCAGCCAGCCATCACAGCAACCTGAACTCCTTCTTTTCCCCTGGAAGTCTACAAAGCTCTGCTTGCCATGGGTCGCTCGCGGAAGCCAGACGCAGTTGGTACCGAGTGCAGGGGCTCCACGCCAACAGAGGCAAGTACAGACTGCCCAGATTAGAAGTTAAGGATTTCCCCATTAGTTAATTACAGTTATGAAGATAGTGCCTGTTCCCAGTGAGCAAGATTGCAAGAGCCAATAGACTGTTAAGAAAGCTTTAAAATATCTGTTTGTTTTCATCAATAAAGAACTTTGTGGGACTTACATTAAGCCTCTACAGAACTTTGTTTTGGGGAGGTCCAAGGGCCTTTAATCTGAGGCAGCCCCAGCGCCCCGTTGGGCACACAGAATTTATATCCTGTCTACAGTCATATGCACAGGCCCAGCGTGCGACAGCACACTAAGGAAAGCAGCCAACCACAGGTACTACAGGGCATTAAGGTGCCACAAGACTTTGGACTTCATCACATTGGGCTGGAGAAAATGAGGGAAAGCAGAGGAAAGGGTGGAGTTTCATTGGGTTCTGAAAGGTAACACTCTTTCAGTCAAAAAAGTTTCCCTTTTGGAGTATGTTTGGTTTCAGAACTCCCAAATGGATGTTCATCAATAGTACCTTCAATAAAAAAAGTTGGCTTAGAAACGCCACTACTGAAGGCAAATGCTGACAAAATCAGGAGACCTTGGGCAAACAAGCTCTGCAGATAGTTCTGTACAGTATTTTACAGATACATTCTGTATTTCTTCTCTTACCGTCCTCGGGGATGTCTGTTTCAGCTGTTCCATCCCATTCCAGGCACTGTGTCGATAACCTCTCTGTCTCCGACTGAAGGATGTTTCTTTTTTAAAAAGTCAGATAGATACATACATTAGCCTTATGAGCACTACTATTATTAAAACTATTGATATTCTGCCCCCTCTTCCCAAAACCGGGACTCAGCACTGGTTATGAATGAAAATAAACACAATACAAAGCCTTCCAGGGGTTCTGAACTTCAAGTCCCAGAAGCCTCAGCTGCCTTAGCCAATGACGATGGATTCTGGGAACTGAAGTACAAAACACCTGGAAAACCAGAGTTTGGAAAAAACTGGAAGGGAATAAACTCAATATAAGCACCTGTTCATCAATGTGCAAGAGGTTTTAATATACGCTGCATCTGAAATATTCAACCTATAACTTCTGCCATTTTCAACAAACCTGAAATAGGACACATCACGCTGTGCTTCTTTTGTTGGCTCTGCTATTGGATCTGCACACAGATCTGTCAGCTGCAGACTGGGAGAAATTTCCATTAGATCCTCAGGTACAGGTTCTGGAAAGGCAAAAAAAAATTTTTTTTTACAAGAAGTCAGGTATGTTTGGCAGATCCAGAAGCTGATCTTTCCTCCTATGAACCCCATCGCATCAAACTGGAATAAAATTTCCCACTTTTAAAAACCTTTTTTAAAACACAAGACGGTATAAGGAAATAAGATTTACTTTAAATCTAGCTTTTAAAATTTTTGAGCAGGGAAAAATATTTCTGAGCAGGGAAAAAAATTTTTGAGCAGGGAAAAATATTGAGCAGGGCTCCAATGAGAAGGAAGGGTAGAAATGGCCATGTGTTCCCTGAATTACAGAACTCAGAATACAACCGAGGTCAAATGTAAGTTTCAGTTTTACATTCTATGACTGTCCAATTGATAATTGCTTAAAAGTCTTAAGAGATACATATAACAAAAATGTTTTCTTAGCTGCACCAAGAAGCCTATTTTTCTGATTCACAGCCCAAAGAATGTGTGTTAGAACCAAGGCACTCTCAGAACTAAGGACTGAGTGACCAAACTATCCCTCCCAGAACATCTGGCCACTTTTGGAAGTCTGGAAAGCTCCCTCCATCTTGGCTTCTTTCCTTCACCACCAATGCAAGATCTTGAAAAAACTGCTTCTGAAACATGCCATTAGGTGATTAGGTTTACTGCAGTCAGCAGATCAAAGCCAAAAGAATCAAGTCTCACTGAAATTAGTTTGTTGTGGAAGAAAGATCTCAAACAGGACTTTGGGCTCGCAGTATAGTCACGTGATAAGACAATGGTCCCCTCTGACACACCTGCTTCAATTGAAGGGAATTCCAGTGTCAGCTGATGTTCCTGGGTGTTGTTCTCAGTCACTTCAGGGGTTGCAAAGAACTTCTGATTCAGACCACAGACATTGGATCCTGTTTCTTTTTCATCTTTTTTAGGGACTTCACTAAGGAAAACAACAACAACACCTATTTTTTATATTCATTCAATGTGTGTATAACTTGGCAGTTTGTGTCAATGAAATTATTAGATAAATTCATTGGTTTTGTGCCTCTCAGGATCAGTGCCCAAGTAACATGAGTGGGAGAGTGCTATTAATAATAATAATAACAACAACAACAACAACAATAACAACAATAATAATAATGCCCTACAGCAGTATCTCTCAAATTGTGCTCCTCCAGATGTTTTGGACTTCAGCTCCCAGAAATCCAAGCCATCTTACCATCTTAGGAATTATGAGAGTTGAAGTCCAAATCATCTGAAGGAGCACAGTTTGAGACACTCTGCCCTACAGAATGACTGTGAAATATATCTCTAGAGATCTGTAGTTTTTCCAGCACAACTTTATGGTCAAGAGTGGGTGTTGCCTATAGAGTTGCAGTGGAAGACAGAGGTGTTCTTATAATATATATATATATATATATATATATATATATATATATATATATATATGATCACTAGCCCAACTTTATGGTCAACATCTGGATAAAGTGGAGCGAAGATTCACATTGGAGGCCTTCCTGGAGATTCTTAGAAAGACTATATGAACAAAGTCCAAAAAAGTTAAACTTGTAAATGTGGAGCGTCATCTGTACTCTTGCTGCCTATCTTTGCAGGAACATTAATTACATTTTAATCACATCAGAATAATGAAAGCAAGCCAAAGGAACAGAGATTGGTAGTGAGAGAAAAATAGGAAGTAATTTTTTTTCAATTTTAAATCTATATATAAATAAAAATGTAATGTTCGTTTGTGGGATTAACAGAACTCAAAAACCACTGGACGAATTAACACCAAATTTGGACACAAGACATCTAATAATGTATGTCCTTCACTCAAAAAAATTGATTTTGTCATTTGGGAGTTGTAGTTGCTGGGATTTATCGTTCACCTACAATCAAAAAGCATTCAGAACCCCACCAATGATGGAATTGAACCAAACTTGGCACACAGTTCTCCCATGACCAACAGAAAATACTGGAAGGGTTTGGTGGGCAGTGTCCTTTGGTTTTAGAGTTGTAGTTCACCTACATCCAGAGATCACTGTGGACTCAAACAATGATGGTTGTGCTCAATCTACACCAGTGGTTCTCAACCTGTGGGTCCCCAGATGTTTTGGCCAACAACTCCCAGAAATCCCAGCCAGTTTACCAGCTGTTCGGATTTCTGGGAGTTGAAGGCCAAAACATCTGGGGACCCACAGGTTGAGAACCACTGCTCTACACGAATACTGAATATACCCAAATGTGAACACTGGTGGAGTTTGGGGAAAATAGAATCTTGATATTTGGGAGTTGTAGTTGCTGGGATTTATAGTTCACCTACAATCACAGAGCATTCTGAACCCCCCCCCCAACAATAGAATTGGGCCAAACCTCCCACACAGAACCCCCATGTGGGCCACAGCAACGCGTGGCAGGGTATGGCTAGTAAAAGAATAAATTTAGAATGTGCACCAGATAGTGAAGCAGGTAGATGAGAATCAGTTCAACTACCACTGTGACTTCCTATAGCTTCTGCTGAATTAACGTTTGCAAATACTCAACATTTCTCAAAAAGCCAAAAGACAGAACCTTAGTCCACACAATATTGGCTTGATTTGATATTTTAATCCTAAAAAAGACTTCAAGGACTTCATTATTTTTTTTCAAGTATTCTAAAAAAAACCCCACATCCATTATAGGTGGCAAATACGTAGTGGAAATGATCCTGATCTCTGTCAAGAGTCTTCTAGATTAAAGCTAGAAAATGATCACATCAGGAATATAGTAGGAACAGAGAGAGTTGGGAAAGTAATCATATGAGGAGATAAGGACGCAAGCATCTGACTTGAGACACAGCACCTCCAAGCTGCAGACAATATGAGTGATTTGTTCCATTTCTCAGGATGAGCCAACTCTAAAGCTTCTTACAGGAAAGGCTAAGCTGCAGGGGGCTTACCTAATGTTCGTCATGGGACTCCAGGAGAGATTGGGCGACAGAAACCCGTCCGCCTTGGAGGGAGACATGGGCTTCACTTTGTAGTTAGTCAGGCCTTCCAGAGGCTTGAAGACAAAGTTTTGAGGAGCAAAAGAACGTGCTCTCTTTGGTGGCACTGAAACTGGCAAGTTTTCCTTCTCAGGGGAAGCCTCATCTTGTACAGTTGCTTCAACAATCTGGGGTGACGCCTCTTCTTTCACAAGATCCATGACAGCGATCGCCTCCATCTTGAACAACACATGTTAAAAGACAAGAGGGATTTCTTCATTACCACTCCTAGGAAATGCCTAGGTAGCCCAGCCGTCTATGCATTTTGTAGCCTCCGAGAGAGAATCATATAGAACCACAGATTTGGAAAAGACACAAAGGCCATCCAGTCAAATCCCCTGGAATGCAGGAACAGACAAGAACACCACCATCTGAGGATTTTTCTGTTATCATTATGATATGCTCAAAGCAAGGACGCAAAAGGCAGCTATGATTATTAATTAGTAAAACCAAACACAAGCTATGTGAAGCTATTGAGACAGTCCTCCACATTCTCTGGGGATAAGAGCACCGGATTCCCATGTAAGTGGGAAAATCGCAAATTAAAATTAAAAAACACTCTTTTTAATATATATTTAATCATATATATTCATTATTATATATTTAAACACACACACACACATGTATATCCTGTGGTATGCTATTATAATATATTGTATATACATATAATATGTAAAATATTACAATGTAATACAATATATTATATTTATTTATATTATATGTAATATTACTAATAATATTACAGTATAATACTATTTATTTATTTATTTATTTATTTACTTACTTACAGCTTTTATATTCTGCCCTTCTCACCCCGCAGGGGACTCAGGGCGGATTACAGTGTTCACATATATGGCAAACATTCAATGCCAATTTTTGACATACAAACATATACAGACATACACAGACACTATTTAACTGTTTCTGGCCGCCAGGGGAGCTGTCGCTTTCATCGTCCATCTGCGATGCTGATGAAGCACTTCCGCATTCTCCGCTGGAATGCTTTGCTGGAGTCTTCTTTATGGCCTCATAAATCAGTTAATTTAGCCTCTCCACACTTTAAGGTGGTACCTTATTTTCCTACTTGACAGATGCAACTGTCTTTCGGGTTGCAAAGGTCGACAACAGGCTACACACATTTGGTTGGAAACCCACTCCAACCCGGGCTGGCTTTGAACTCATGACCTTTTGGTCAGAGTGATCTTAATGCAGCTGACACTCAGCCAGCTGCACCACAATTCCGGTGCTGATATGGTGCTATGCATCCAGGATTTTATCATGTTACCTCACCCATTTAGCTTGCCCATTGTGTTCGATTTTATAATACGTTTCTTTGTTTTATTTATCTTATTGCTATTATATTATTTTATTCTGATTGTAATTTTCTGGGGAGACCCTACTCTCGGCCCCGCCTCTATCACAAGTGAGATTGGCGGGGACGACGAGCAGGGCCTTCTCGGTGGTGGCCCCTTATCTATGGAATTCACTCCTTGGGAAAATTAGATCATCAACATCCCTCCTTTCCTTTAGAAAGAAATTAAAAACATAGATTTGGGACCAGGCGTTTGGGCAATCTGGCAGATAAATAAAGGACGACGACGACTGATAGGAATGAAAAATGTAGAATGAGGTTATGGACTCTGAGTTGGCGAACGTTGAGCATGGGATTGGTTTTATTGACTGTGATACATATTGATTGTTTTAATTGTTATAACTGTTTTAATTGCTGTCTATATGTTTATCTGTATTATTGTGTAGGCATCGAATTGTGCCTTTTGTAAGCCGCCCTGAGTCCCCCCTCGGGGATTGAGAAGGGCGGGGTAGAAGTACTCGAAATAAATAATAAATAATTTTGTTGTCTGTATTTTGTATTTTATTCAGTTGTATCGTATCTTTGGGCTTGGCCTCATGTTAGCCTCCCCGAGTCCCCTTCGGGGAGATGATGGGGGGGGGGGGGGGGGGGGGGGGGGGGGGTATAAATAAAGATTATTATTATCGTTATTATTATTATTATGCTAATAATATTTTGTATGTGTGCATCTTGTAAGCTGCTATGAGTCCTTTTTGGGGTGAGAAGGGTGGCATATAAAAGCCATAAATAAATATGGCTTTTATATGCCAACAGACCTCACTACCTCTGAGGATGCTTGCCATAGATGCAGGCGAAACATCAGGAGAAAATGCCTCTAGAACATGGCCATATAGCCCGGAAAAACCTACAGCAACCCAGTGACTCCGGCCATGAAAGCCTTCGACAATTCATAAATAAATAAATAAATATTTGTTGCTTGAGGGAAATCCCAAGATATCCCTAGAAATCCCAAGATCCTCCACTGAAAGTAGTGCTACAAATGCCCAGATAAGTGATCTATCTTGGTCATCCAGAGTGACACTATATTCGAATCCCAGCAGTGATAAACTTCAAGATAGAGCTGGAGGACCTAGAGCTCCCAAAAAAGAACACATCCGTCAAATCTGCAAAAGGTAAACCTGGACACATGGAAGACCAACTAGACTGTGAAAACAAGCATTAAAAACTGAGAATCTTACTACTGCCTCTTCTTTTTTGACCGCTCTTTGCTGCTTTCCTTTATTTGTTTCTTTTTTCTGAGCCGATTTACCTAGAACAGAAGAAATCTAGTATTATATGAGCAATTTATGACCACAAGGCTGCAAGCTGGTACGCCAAAATAAAAGCAAAGGAGCATATTTTTATAAAATGAAAACACACCAACCTGACCCTTATAGGAAGAGAAATGAACGGTGCATGATAAGGACCACAGGGAAAAAGGTCAGAGAGTTCCAACCAAGCTTGAAAACTAGGTTTTTACAAATAGAGACATCTACTAAGTGACCCACCTGTAGTCGTGGTAGGCCGTGAGATCTGTGGTATTTTGGTCTTTGCACTGACAGCCGCAGCTGCTGCTCTTGTAATTCTTCCGTTTGAAGCTGTGGAGACCACTGCTGGAACTTCTGAAAAGTTCTTCGTCTTCGATCTTGTTACCCGCACAGGAGGTGCCTCCTAGGAGTGGTCCAGAAAAAAAAATTGAGTAAACTACTTGTGAAGGAGTTGTTAAACTGCTGCCACCAATTGTAACGATGACCGTTTTAATGCCACCGAATGCCACCAATTGTGAAGGTGCGCGTGGTAAAGCACCCACTGCCACCTAATCTATGAGGGAAGCCGGGCAACGATCAATATCAACCTAGGAGCTATTTTATAAAGGGACTGTTAATTACAGAAGGCTTTATTCACTTGATAGCGTAGCGTTTACTTTCTTGGCTTGACTTTACTATTGCAGGCTGTTCAACTTAGGAGAAACTGTATCAGGCAAGGCTTGAGGAAAACAGTAACAAGTTTATTTTAACAGGAGTATAACAATGTATAACTGTTCTTCAAAAGAGGCACAAATCTTGATGGATACATTGGAAAGGTTTCATGAGTAAACTCAGGCAAACACTTCATAAGGTTTCACAGCTGGCACAACAGGCTTAAACCCAGCCAAACCTTGATTCTTAATTCAGAATCAACAACCCCCTGTACCGGGTCCTTCTCTGCAACCACTTGGTCACCAATTGATTCCCTGAATCTGCACCAAGAGATTCAGTCTTTCCCTATAGCACACTGGCTACAGACACATTCCCTGAATCTCCACCAAAAGATTCAGTCCACTCAGTAGCTCGCTGGCGTACTGACTGACTCTTTTTTAAAACAGCTGCCCCTGAAGAGGCAGTTGGCTCCGCCCCTGTTGCTATGACAACTCAGCTAACACCAAGCCACTCTCTCCAACAAAACATAATCTTACATACTTACCATCCCTAAACCACTATCCAAACTACACATAACCAAAGGAATAAAATCTTACACATCGCCACACTACTTATCCCTTTCCTGTCAGATATTATAATCTAGCAAGAAACATAAATACAAACCACCTGATTAGGAATAATTGGAACCACCTAATTTGTTAAAGCAGCAGTTCTCAACTGAAGGAAATGCTCCAGGAACTTTGGTTGGGTCAAAGGAAATTGAAATTTAAACCCTTTTTTTTCCAGTAGTTTAAGCCAAAAATTCTAGTTCTTCATCCTTGGTTATGCTGAGAGTTGCAATTCACCAAAATTTGTAGGACAATACACCGTCACCGTTATTATTATTAGCCTGCTTTTCTCTCAGGACTGGGGGGGGGGGGGGGGGGGGGGTCAAAGCAACTCATTTCCCAATTCCTGTTTCTAATATTGTAGGTTGCTACACTAGGCAAAGCCCAGGCAGGATTGGATGCAGAGGCGTTCTGCCAGAAACCATTACATCAGTGGTTCTCAACCTATGAGTCCCCAGGTGTTTTGGCCTACAACTCCCAGAAATCCCAGTCAGTTTACCATCTGTTAGGGATTTCTGGAGGTTGAAGGCCAAAACATCTGGGGACCCACAGGGTGAGAACCACTGCACTAGAGCCTTCTTGAAGGGGTATGGTGCAATATCAAGGATGGCCTGACTTCATCAATGACCAGTTGGATCCTAAGTTTTGTTCTTTTCTCCATTTGCAACAAATTAAATTTATTATTTATTTATTTATAGTATTTATATACTGCTTTTCTCACCCCTAGGGGGACTCAAAGCAGTTTACACATAGATAATGGCAAAAATTAAATGCCTTACAACTACAATAGTAAAACCATACTTTAAACATAAATCATATTAAAAACCGTAAAAACAGTTAACAGGTCTAATTTACCAAATACAGAGAATCTACTACATCTGAGCTCTGTACAATAGCAACTTTTCTAATTGTGTTTAATTAAACTTCCCTCTCCCTAAGAAAAATTTCACAGCTTCAAGTGAGAATCTATGTATTTCCTTCCATTGGTTTAAAGGGCCCTGACATTATGGTCAGATATAGAACCTGGAGGAGTTATTCCATTAACCAGTTGAAAATTATTCTGACATGGAGTTTGGTAAAGTTACTTTTTAAAGACAACAATATCTGGACTATCTCAGCCACTATGACCATATAGCTCTGGGATCTGAGGTGTTTTTGGTCCCAAACAGCAACTTTTCCAGATGAATGGACCTTTTGCTCCTTCGTTCCTTTCTCCCCCATCACACTTAATCTCATTCTCCTCTATATATGGCCTCCAAACCAGAACATGTAAACTACTTGCTTATTTAAGTTTAGAGAAATAAAACAGAATGGGGATTAGGAAAGAATTGGAGCCTTGGAGTAGAACAAGGAGCTTCTATAAGCCCAAAATGTGATTTAGTGGTTATGCATGATTTCAGCTGAGTGGCTAAAAGGATGAAGGAAATTCTGGACAAGTACCACAGTTGCCGTTTTCACCATCGTCTCCTTTGGCTTGCTCAGGACTGGGATCTGTGATGCTTTTGAAAGGAAGCCCGGGGCTTCTGGCTTGAATCGCCCACATTTAAACACAGGTTTCTCTCGCTGCTCCTTTAATTTACGCAGTTCTTTTTCAGCTTTGTAACGCTGGAGCATTTCAATACGCTGCTGCATCTTAGCAATCGTTTTTGAAGTCTCATCTAAGTGGGTTAAAAAAAAGAGAGTGTGAATGCCCCCCATCTTGACTTGAGTTCTCCTTTGACGACTTTGAGTCTCCTTTGTAAAGAGAAAAAGTGGGATATAAATAATAATAATAATAATAATAATAATAATGAACAGCCAAGATTTATCCATGTGCTGAACAGATAGCAAGAGTTGTCTGCATCTCAGAACACAACATGAACAGGCTGAAATCCCAGTTGAAGCTAAGTTAATAAATGTTAAGTCTTGCAGTTAGGCACTAAAAAAAAGGCAAAAGCAACGGATGAAGAGGCGAGCTTTGCAACACAATGCTTGAGAAAAGCTCTACAAGTCTCCATGGGTCACAAGATGAACATCAGCCAGCCATGTGATGAATCCGTTAAAAAATGTAATCATAAGCTGCAATTGCCCATGCTAAAATAATTTCAATTTCTATATAAGGATGTGAAAGCTGGACAATGAAGAAAGCTGACAGGCAAAAAACAGAAGCAGTTTGAAATATAAGGCAGGAAGAGTGCTCTACTGACGCCATAGACGGCTAGAAAGACTATAACTGAATCTGAGAGGAAACCAGGCCTGAATTCTTCTTAGAAACTTAAATGAGTAAACTAACATCACGGCATAGTCAGCCTACCTCCACATTCTCTGGGATTGGAACACATTAGCCCTGTGGAATTGAAAAACCACATTGCTAATTATATTTTTTTATCAAAGATGATACCACTCTAGGAATTTCTATGTCTTCCAGCAAGACTCTATTAGAAAGTGCTTGGAAGAAAATGCTACTAGACAGCTTTGGGAGACAGTAGCTTCAGCAGAAGTATTCAATAAGCCGTTGGACACATTTGTCTATTGTGTCTCAATCTGGGATTCCATGGCAATGTATAATGAATAAAAACATTTAAAATACTGTGTACAATAATAAAAAGTTTGCAATACAGACAACCCACTCCAAGAAAGTACCGTATATACTCTAGTGTAAGCCAACCCAAATATAAGCCAAGGCACCTAATTTTACCACAAAAAACTGGGAAAACATATATGCAAAAAGTGGGAAATGGTAAATTTCAAAATCAAAATAGATATCAATAAAATTTCATTAATTGAGGCATCAGTAGGTTAAAAATTTGTGCATGTTTACATAAAGCTATAATTTAAGATAACTGTCCAACTCTAATTAAACCATTATTCTAACCTTCAATGTAAATGTGTTTACGTATCCTTCCAATAATGAGAGCAAAATAATAAATGTAATAATAATAATAGAGTAAAATAATAAACGTAATAATAACAGTAATCCAAGGTGACAGCAGGATTGAAGAGAAACAACTGGAAAAGCTGACATGATAGGAGGATATAAAGATCCAACTGCAAAGACTCTGGCACAAACCAGTAAAGGTGGTCCCAGTGATGATCGGCACACTGAGTGCAGTGCCTAAAGACCTTGGCCTGTACTTAAACACAATTGGCGCTGACAAAATTACCACCTGCCAGCTGCAAAAGGTCACCCTACTTGGATCTGCACACATTATTCGCCAATACATCACACAGTCCTAGACACTTGGGAAGTGTCCAACGTGTGATTCAATACAGCAGCCAGCAGAGTGACCTTGTTTGCTGTGGACTCATTTTGTTGTGTTTCAAATAATAATAACAGTAAAATAATAAATAACTTTGACTCGAGTATAAGCCGAGGGGGTGCTTTTTCGGCCTTAAAAAAAGGCTGAAAAATTAGGTTTTCACAAATAGAGACATCTACTAAGTGACCCACCTGTAGTCGTGGTAGGCCGTGAGATCTGTGGTATTTTGGTCTTTGCACTGACTGCCGCAGCTGCTGCTCTTGTAATTCTTCCGTTTGAAGCTGTGGAGACCACTGCTGGAACTTCTGAAAAGGGGAAGGGGTAAAAGGTGGCCATGCTTAAACCTTTCATATTCTGGTTATAAAGCATTTAGGGTATTTTATTTATTGTGTCAGAAGTGAATTGAAAATGCAGTTATAATGTATAGAAAACCACAAAGTTAAAAAACCACAAACAAAATTAAAAACTTGGTATTATACTTGGAGTGCCTCTGGTGTTACTGTAAGAAAGTCCTCCATTGTGCATGTGGCAGGGCTCAGACTGAATTGTAGTAAGTGGTTTGTGGATTACTCTACTCCACACTCGCATGTCATGGACTCCACTTTGTGGCCCCCACATTGTGGCTCCATTTCTTGAGATTAGCTCTACATCTCGTGGTACCAGAGCACAGTCTGTTCGGTGCCTTCCATGTTGCCCAGTCTTCTGTGTGCCAGGAGGGAAGTTTCTCATCTGGTCTCAGCCACAGATTGAGGTTCCGGGTTTGAGCCTGCCACTTTTGGAATCTTGATTCCTGAGGTGTTTTTGGAGTATCTCTGTAGATCTTTGGAAGCTCTTTCTTGATATAAGGTGCTGCCACGCTGGCTGATATCCAAACAGAAAATGGGCTGGAGATCCCAATGCCTTGGTCCTTTCATTACTGGCTGCTACTTCCCAGTGGATGTCAGGTGGTGCAATACCAGCTAAACAGTATAATTTCTCCAGCGATGTAGGACGTGTCATTAAGAGCCACATCCACTGTTTTAACATGGTGAGGTGTATTCCACACTGGGCATGTGTATTCAAGCAGCAAAGCAGCCAAGCGCAAGGGCAGATGTCTTCACTGTCTGGTTGTGATCCTCAGGTTGTGCCAGTCAGCTTTAGCACCCACTTTTTGCTTGGTATTCAGGCAGTGCTTCTTTTGGGTCTGAGAATGGTCCAGGGTAACTCCTGGGTATGTGAGTGCGCTGCAATGCTCCAGTGGGATTCCTTCCCAGGTAATCCTCAGAGCTCGAGATGCTTGTCTGTTCTTAAGATGAATAGCATACGTTTGCATTTTAGATGGATTAGGAATCAGCTGGTTTTCTCTTTATTAGGCAGTAAGAGCACCTAAAGCTCTGGAGAGCTTCTGTTCAACCATTTCAAAGCTCCCTGCTTGAGTGGTGATAGAACAATCATCAGATTGAAATTAGTTGAAATACAGCTAAATCAGAATAATACATTATACTAATTGCCTAGACACATACATTACATTACATATATATATGACTATATACAGTAACTTAAAAACCACAGACAGTTAAAACAGCCAGAGAATCTACACCTAGTTTGTAGGACATGCAAAACAATACTATCTTAACTATGTGCTAAGGGGAAAAGGCGTTAAGGTAAAAAAAGTTAGTGACCGCGTAATTTTCTAGGAAGGCGTTCCATGTGAGCCCAGGATTCTTGAATGAGCGTCCTCCAAGTTACCCTATCTTCAACAGATTTTCTCAGGTTTTGTAAAGGCAAGGCAGCCATA